TATGAGAAACATTAGTGTCTAGGTAGTTCTTTGGAACCTTCCTTCATGTTGCAAATGCTTAGAGAGAAAGTAAAGAAATAATAATTTGCATTGGAAAAACATGCATATGTAAATCAGTGTATGAATTTGTTAAGTGCGTGGTTACAGTTTGAATTATTGTAATATGAGTAAAAGTCGGAGTTGAGGATAGACGGGACAAAATTTATGTTTTGGTTTGTTTTTAATGCGACAGTAAATTATGTTCTAATGAATTGATGTGATAGATTTACAATTAACATAGCTAGACTGTGGTATAGGAATTTTTACTATGACTGATATTTGTTATGTCATGTCTACTGTATACCTGATATATACTCCAAATGTTTTCAAGACATGTTGAATATACATGTACTATAAAATGGTAATTAGTATAGTTTTAATCTCCTAAATGTTGCTGCTACTATTACTGCTGCTGTTGTTGCTATTATAATGCTACTGCTGCTGTTGTTGCTACTATTGTAAATGCTGCTGCTGATTTTACTGTTGCTACTGCTGCCTGTTGTTGCAACTGTTGCTATTGCTACTGCTGATTTTGAATTCTGCTGTTGTCGCTACTATTGCTGTAGCTGCTGCTACTGCTGCTGTTGTTGCAACTGTTGCTATTGCTACTGCTGATTTTGCTGCTACTGTTGTCGGTGCTATTGCTATTGCTGCTGCCACCATTGTTGTTGAAACTGTTGCTATTGCTGCTGCTGTTGTCGCTACTGTTGCTATTGCTGCTACTACTGCTGCTGTTGCAACTGTTACTATTGCTGCTGCTGATTTTGCTGCTGCTACTGTTGCTATTGCTGCTGCTACTGCTGCTGTTGTTGCAACTGTTGCTATTGCTACTGCTTATTTTGAATGCTACTGTTGTTGCTATTGCTACTACTGTTGTTGCTGCTGCTACTATTGTTGCAACTGTGGCTTTTGCTGCTGCTAAGTTTGCTGCTGCTATTGCTACCGTTGCTGCTGATTTTGCTGCTGTTGTTGCAATTACTGCTACTGATTTTGCTGCTGTTGTTACTGTTGTTACTAGTGCTGATGCTTTTATAATGCTGTTGATGCTTTTGCTTTTAATGATTGTTGTTGTTGCTGCTACTACCTTGTAGCCAAATTTGGACAGAACCAAGTAATCAACTTTTTACACTTATTAATTTAGGACCCTGGACTGGCCCAAATTTTATGCGAAAATGAGGTCAGAATATCCCATGTGCCCAGACCTAGTTTCTTGGCCATTACTTTGATTAGTAAAGTTTGTTCATTTTAAGGTAACATTGATTGAAACCAAAACTGAATGAAAATGTAATCCGATCTGCTTTCATTCGTATTTATTTCATCTCTGCTCTAGATACATATGCAATTCTATAATGCCAGCTACATCAAACCATTATGTAAACATTATTATTTGATAAGTAAATTGAGGTTCAGAATATGTGTTAATATTTTATAGAATGTGTATATATGGTGTTCTCCACCATATAACAAATGTAGTTTAATATAATAGAAAGGTTACTCTATGTAATTTATTTTTTTATCTGTTTATTGCATAATATATACTATACTTGTAGAATGACTTGATTGGAAAATTGAAGGAAATGCACCAGCTTATAGCTCAGCGATAATCAACCAAACAAAATTGGAGGGTCTTTTTAAAAATTTTGGTAGGGACAGTATGTTGTTGTCTAACCACATATAACAGGGTTAGTCCATTCATAGTAATTATTCCAAATTAAGCAGATTTGGACTTTGAAGCTTGGTTACGAGGACTGAGCAAGCCCGTTGGCTGGATTTCTAAAGGTGGGTTCTGATTTTTTCCCTACCACCTTTTTTCGCACTCACCTTGTCACCACCAATGGTAGGTAAGATTTTAAGGATAAAACACCTTTGATGTCTTGAAATGGCATTCCAATTCATAAAAAATGCTAAATTTCAAATGTTTTGAGTTAATTTTAACAACTTCCATGCAAAAGGCACTGTTTACTAATAATTTATAAGGGCATTTCTGGAAAAGGGGGGGTTCTTTTGAATCCCTCTAATCTTCCTGGCTACAGGCTTGCTGAGGGCAGCAGAGCTCCAGAATATATTTTGACTGCATAATGAGCAAATGAGATAATTAATATTGTTGCAACTTTCAGCAACAAAAACAAAAAATACAAACAAAAAACGAAAACAGAAGGAAAAAAAAAAAAGAAAAACACCTAAAAATATTCCTGGTACCAGATATGGTATACAAATTTTATTGTTTGTATAGTATAGTGGTAATGAAAATGTTAAAATAACAATGACGATGAACAATCATTGTGCACCCGTACCCATCCATGGGGATGCTCATAGCATATTTATTTATTTTTTCTTTTTTATTTGTTACATCACATTTTTTTCCCCATCAAACATGCAGATGCCTACTCGAAAGTTACCATAAAATTTTTTAAAAACTCCTTTGAATCGAGAATTAAAATAAGTACTGTATGCTTTACGACTTTTCACTTTTGTAAATAGATAACGAGATAGCATTTCCCAAGTTTCTCAACTCTGCGATCATAACAATTTTATGATAGCGGTATTTATAGCAACTCATTCAAATTTCTGATACTTGATTAGAGCTTAAGTAATCGGAAGAATCATGTAAAGAAGAGAATAGTGCAGATGTGTGCAAAAGAAGAAAAAAAAGACAGAACTAGTTTAAGTACCCTGCATGACTCATTCTGATCTCCAAAAAGTGCATTGATACAAATCACCCTAATATGGATGTGAAGAGGACAATAAGTAGGTCGTTGCTTTGATCTTTGATTGATGTCGCAGGGAATGCGTACCTTGGTTTTGCCGCACATTTTGAGCTTGAATGGTCTGTGAAATGTGAAAGATGAGAATTTCTCACAATAATGAGATTGTTGAATTTGCGTCAGACTGACTCCATATTTCTAATTTAAACGTTTTTTGTTCTGAATCGATTATGGTTTAACAATGTTGTTATGTTCAATTTGCTTCTGTTAGGTGTCCAGTGTCTGGTATTATAATCTAAGGACAACGTACATTCATTCAACAGTAAGAGTGTACATAATAATAACGTATTTATCAGTAACATGGGTAATATTTTTTTGATAGTGTTTTGCATAAAGTCATTTTAATCTTATGAACTGAATAAGATTCTGTGGGATTTTATTTTCGACATTCTAATCACTGATATTGTTTTTATTATTTCTTTTTATTCCTCCCTGTTTTCATTATCCTTATAAACTCAGTAAAATAAATTCTAAATTCTGTTTCTATTAAGTCACCTAGTATACAATGTAGGTTTATCTTTTCTAGTTATTATTTCAATTAGCCTTACCAATATGTAATCAATTTTAATGGCTTTCATTTTATTCAAGAACAATATCGGTACTACGATTGATTATTGAGTTTATTAGGAATTTTCTTATTTATTATTTAAATTGACATTCTAGTAATAAAGAATAAGATTTATTATCATGTTTTATGAACACTGAAATAATCAGATGCTAAATTTGTGGGATTAAGCAATAACATAACCGAGTTATTTTACCTGAAGTAATAGTCGGTATTTTTTAGCAATTTATCCCTGGGAAACCAATTTCCCATGAGCCATAGCTACAATCTGTCAGTTGGTTTTAATACTATTTGTAATTCCGTTGCCGCAAATGGCAAGCTTCGTAAGATGATGGTCCATTTACTAAGATGCAGAAAATCGTGTTTGTGTATTACCTGTTTTTATTACTGCTTGATTAAGGACCTCGTTACTTCGTGTGACTCATTTATTTACAGAATTTGCTTCACTCTGCAAAATTACTCGAAAACATCAAAGATGCACCGAGTTGGAGTTCCTGTCAGCCTTTGAATGATGTATGCGTATGCGAATGATTATTTACATAACATTTGCTTATGGAAAAAATGATCTTTTCTAATTCTGTCCAAAGCGTTAGTTCTAATCGTTAACCATGAGATGCTATTTTTCCTTGAAATTTCTTTTTTTAAGTTGAAATATGACAGTGTTAAGTCGTTTTTCGATTATTTTAAATGATAAGTAAAATGGAAAAAAGATTAAAATGTAAGTTTATACAATTATGATTGATGAATAATGTAAGTGGCAGTTAAAATATACAGTAAATGCTATATTTAGGCCTACATTTATTTTTAAAACCACTTTCTATATATTCTAAATGATGAATAACAGTAATATATACAAGATGCATTAAGTAATGTATAATTTATGCAAATGTCATTCAAGATGCGAAGAGGATGTGTTCAATGTTTGAATCTTTATTTGATTATTAATTAATTGTGTACTATCCTAATTTTTTAAAATGATAATTAATAATGATCGATTTCTAAAGTGCATATTGTGGAGGCCTCTATACGCTTAACGTAAACGTGAAAACAGAAACAGACCAAGGGTTCAAATGTTCTGTGGCAAGACAGCAAACATGAATAATAATGAAATTAACAGTACACAGATGGCATTTACCAAAGGAGGGCTGCCAAATTTTGGTAGATTTCGTAGAAGCAGTTTTCCGCAGTAGTTGCGGTTCTGTTTCCCTACCTTGAGGTCGGAGTTTCAATCACTCCCTGTACATTTCCTTGTGTCCTTAGGCAAGGCACTTAACCAACGTTTGTCTCTCTCTAACCAGGAGTACAAGTGGGTACCTCAGTAGGCTCAAACACAAAATATGCTGATTAAAGCTACAACATTGCGGAATTCTCTTCATGGCGCTGAGTATGTGTTGCATATGTGCTTGATCCAATTACCGCAGTATTATTGTGAAGTGCTTAGAGGCCTTGTATAAGTGTAACATATTATTAAAAAGATGGGGATTTTTGGAAAAGACAGAGACATTTAACTGATAAGATGGAAAGGTTTATTATGTTCACTTGAGTCTTGTTGGTACTTAAAATTTCTGAACATAACATGTTGGTGAAGTTTTTCCATATTTTCTTATGATTTTTGTCTCATTTGATTCTAGGGTGCGGATTATGGAATCAAGGTAATGATTTTTAGTTTAGGTCTTCATATATTGCTCTCTTCTTTTCATCTTACTAATGTATGCATGTGGCATTGTCGGCCATATGTATTCTATACGTGGCTACTAGGCTTATGGTAGATTAAATTTTACGATTATTTTCTTTTTGTAGTGATAGTACTAAATTTCATTATGTACGTAATAGAGTCTGTTGATCTACACAATTTCAATAAAGTTCAATTTAATATGCTTATTATATTTGAGTAAATTACTAAAAATTTGAATGAATCGAAATATCTCTTGCCAATTTGAGATGTATACTAATTTTCATTGTTATGATATCATTGCTAATTTTATATATGGTGATATTATATGGCACTTACTCATGCCTGCTATCTACTAATAAAGATAAAATATGGAATTAGCTTTAAGCTTATGGCGGTGTGCATAAAGATTGTTGGGGTTAAGTAATTTATTTTCATTTTTTACTGCTAATTTTTTTTTGCAAATTAACTTTAAAGGTTAAGGACTTGTAAATGTTGATTAAAAGTACAAGATACATAAATAACATACTTAGCATGGTGTAGGGTTTTTAACTATTTTTATCAATTCATCTTGAGTTAATAAATTGATTACATTTGTAGAGAGAGATGCTAATTTGACCTTTTATTTCAAAATCTGTTTAACATTACTTGGGTTTTATTTGCATGTAGATTTATGCCTATAAGTTTTTATACAATTTTCTAAATTCTTCCTTTTGATTTTTCCTTTTTTAATCTTATATAGTCTATCTTAATTCTTAATAACTATTTTTCTGCGTTGAAGTGATTCTAAAATAGCAAATGTTTTACAAATAAGACATCTCTGCTATGTAGAAAATCCATCATTAATGTAATGTTGTTTGCATAGATTTTAGTGATAATGACTCGTTTCTATTCTGCTCCAAGCTATTTTTGCTGATGTTTATAGAAGTCTACTTCGTGAATACTTAACCTGGATAAACCGACAAATTGCCTATTCTTTCCTACACATGAGAACACCCCTCGAAAAATAATAGAACAGTCGACTCCTGGCGCCAAGCTCAAGCAGCCCCGCCACCATGCAACTTCCTCATTTTTTTAAATTTTTTTTTTGAGACACGAAAGTAGACACCTCAGCTAAGGATTTTCGATTGTGGATTTTACTGATCTTATTGGATTTATAGCTTGCATTTTTTATGATCTTTTGGGGATTTTACTGCATCCTGCTTGCTGTTTTGCTACTGTTTATAGAATTCTTCATTGCAGTACTACTGTACTGTAAAATGTTATTTTTATTAACATTGTAACTAATCAGTTGGGAAGCCATTTAAGTATCCAAATATCCAGAATGTAAGGTGTCACAATTATTGAAACTATTGAAAAAATGAATTTGATCATTAAAAACAAATGTCTAATAATGTTAGAATCATTATTTTATACTAAGCTTAAAGTTGATAAATATTTACATTGAACAGTGATTAATATTTTTACTGGTTTACCATATTCAAAATAAAAAATTATTAGGTGACCAAGGTATTTTTAACATTTTCGTTTAATTTCAAAGATTTTATTACTGTAAGCATATTTCCTCCTTGTACTAAAAATTGTTCTTAATATGAAGAAATATCAGAAAAAAAAATTCACTAACAAAGAAATTTTACAAATATTTATTATCAAATTCCTGCTGGAAAATGAGTTTGTTTTGGTATTTGTCGCCATTTATGTCACAGGGATCAATGATGGTTCTCATGGATTGGTTGAAAATTCGGTAGAGTTCAATAGTAGAATTAATATCACTTGCCAAACTCAACCCCCCATGTAGAATTGTAAGCCCCAAGAGTGTTATACCATTTCACAATCGAAGTAACAAATATGATTTATTGCTGTCTCGGTTTTCATTTTATTACATATTTTCGAAAGTGGCACATTGTTACCTAGTTGGTGTATCCCAAGTAACTTTTTGTGACACTAGTAATATTCCCATCTAGAAAGAATTAGGCAAATGACCGATATAATTATGAATATTACAAGTATAATAGGTCATGTAATATATAGTGTCTGTCAGATTGCTTCATGATAAAGTATATCAAACAAAAAATAAAAACACACACAAATTCTGATTTACCATTTCCTTAACTTGATCTAAGCTTACTAGGTGGAAACTTAGTTTAAATAAGTGATATATAATTTTCAATTTCTGCATTTTACGTTGGATGTGGAAATATTTTTTAAAAATGAAGAAAGATAAGAAAGTGTTTTGTCAAATGTTCTTTAAAAAACATCTGCGAAGCTGTATTCATTGACACATTCTTCAGAAGCATTGTTCTGGTTTAACTAGTGGTCCAGATTTAGAAACTACGTATGAAATATGAGCAAAAATATCAGTCGTGTTTTTCGTAAACTGAGATGCCATTGATTGTCATGTTTTTATCTGGCTTATAGTTGAATTGGCTACATGTAAACAAGATATTTGCAAGTTGATTGAATCGAAGTAACTGCTTTATTCCATACGTATGTTCTTGTAACTACGTAAGAAGTTTGTCTCTTTCTATCTAGTTTGTATGAACATTGTGATTCTGCTCACATGTCTAGGTATACTCTTCAGGGATGGGACATTTGTACTTGTGCATGTAAATATTAGGGGGATGTTAATGTTGCAGTGATTATAAAAGATTTTGCAATTATAAAACACTACAGTAGAACCCCTATTAAGGGCACACCTTCAGGGCCAGAAAGTGTCTCCTTAATTAGTGGGTGTCCCCTGAATAAGGGTTGGCCATAGTGTTCACTTAATAGGAGGGGCTCTACTGCATAGATAAACCAATCATGTTATACAAAATTGTGAGATGTCCATATGTACTGATACCCAGTTTATTCAAACATTATTTTCTAATCTTTATGGGAAAGTCTCTTTGAAACAGCCACATAAGAATACACAATGATTTGAATAGATTCCTAATTTTTATGAGTGAAAAATGTCCAATATGAGTTTATTCAACATTTTTATAACAGATTTTTGTTTTGAGACTTTGATTTATTTTGTCATTAGGTGAGAAATATTGCTGCGAGCTTTGAGGTTGCTATGGGGAGATGGAGTGATTATGAGATAAAAATTCAGGTGTGATTATAAAACCGGGTTTTACCTGGTGGCACAATATGACTCATTCGCACCTCTCTGCATTTAAATGTCACGTAGCGAATATATAAAAAGGAAGATTAATTAAATTTTTCTGATTCTGTATTCTGTGCAGAAGATTAATTCATTCACCAGTGAATTGTGTTTCAGATAAGGAATGATCAACTATTAATCAAAGTTAGACATGCCCCCTTAAAAGGTGATGGATTTTTTTTTCTGACTATTAAGATTTACTGAGGCATTTGTATGATTCAGACAAGCGAGAACTTTGATAGGATTTCGGTAGACAATCGTGAATAACATATAAGCAGTCGTGCTAGTGTATTGAAGACGATATAATCTTTGATAAGCGCCAAAGTAAGAGGGGCACTAATTTGACAGTCGGTTATTAAATTGTGCAAATTTTGTTAGTGAAGTTCTTTAAAAGAACTTCTATTTGAACTTTTTTTTTTTATAGATTTTATCATTATAGAGTGCTCTAGACTAATGACTATTGGCTTGACTAAGCCAAAAAGGGCCAAGAAGTCCTTAGTAAAATATTAGAGGTTATTTCTATTAATATGATACTCAAATAAATAGGCCTGTAGTTAAAGGAGTGTGTACTTCCATCATTTTGTAGACTATCAAAGTATTAGGGGTTTTAAGCACCCCTTAACAAGTGTTGGGATAATAGCTATAGACCCAGGCCTTTCGGGTGGGCACTTGCAGAGGACGACAGGGTGCTAATTGCTGAACAAAAATTTAATCCAGTAATCAGTGAATTGAAACAGGTCAGAGACACTAGTATGTATATTAAACACAGATTTTCGCACAAACTGTGCATTTCATGTGAAATTGATCATTCACCGTAGTACGCTATGTGCTCGCATTCAATCAATACTCATTATTAGTTCCAGACTGCTACCTGTTTTATACTAACCGATTATAAGAGAATTCCAGTTTTTCAAAAATGTCATGATAATTATAAGTTGGGGGTTTAAATTCACGTTAAAAGTAAGCTTCTTTGGTGTGATTACTACCTTTTTTCAACTGTATATACATTTTTTTTTTTGAAGAAATAAAATAATATTTTTGGTCTTGTTTTACCCTCTTGTAGTATGTGACCGTAAAGCATATTACAACATGCCGGTTAAATACACAAAATTATCAATTTTAAATTAATTATGAATTGTGATTTAGCAATTAAGATTCGGTTGTGTGTGTGTGTCAATATCCTCTGGCTCAAGAATGAGTTAATGTACTCAGTTGAACAGTGAGTTGCATCTGAAATGCAAACATTATACTGGTACATTAAGAAAAAAAACGGGCATGACTGAAATGCCTTGTGCAATTCATCGCGTTCTTCTCTCATATCTTAGACGCGTTGCCTGATGTGGCTGTCTTGATAGATGGAAGTACTTTAAATTGTACAGTATTCGGCGTTACTTAACAAAGAATGATCTTAAAAGATTGAAGAGGCAAAAAAGCTCACAAATATATGAATTGAGATAATTCAATTGAGTTAATGAAGCGGAAGCTTGAAACGAGGTGACGCTGGACGAGGCGTTGAACTACACCATTAGAATGTTACTGAAGATTGGATCTTCTTTCTTGATGTTGTTTTCCATGATTATATACAGATTGTTTATTTAACTATTGACGAAAATGCTATTACCACAGTCAGTCATCATCAACATTATCATAATCAAATGAATGCCATCAAGTTTCATGATCATCGATAGCTTTATCATCATTTAATCCTGTCCAGACTATCAAATTCCTAAATATGGTCATGATGACATCACATTATGACCATATATAGGCACATCATAACTAAATATGGGCATGGAACAGTTATTTGTCAAAGAAAATTTGATAATCTGGACTAAGCTTTACATTATCATCATTATTGTCATCATCATTGTCGTCATCATCAAAATTAGCATCATTATTATAATCGACATCATCTCTTGCAGCTTCATAACCATTGTCAGTTTCTCATCAAGATCTACAAAATTATAATCACTATTTTCTTTATTATTAATATTATCCTCTTCAACATCATACAGTATTCGCCATCAGCATGATGATCATATTTATTATCATTTTCTTCATTATCATTATCAACTTCATCCTTATCATCTTCATCATTACTTTGTCATCATTATCTTCCTCTTCATCATCATCAACTTCATCATTATCACCTTCATCACCACATTACTTTCATTATCATCCTCAGCATCATTATCTTCATCATCATTATCAACTTCATCATCATTATCATCCTCATCACCACACTTTCATTATCATCCTCAGCATCATTAACATCTTCATCATCATTATCATCCTCGTCACCACATTACTTGCATTATCATCCTCAGCATCATTATCTTCTTCATCATTATCAACTTCATCATCATTATCATCCACATCACCACACTTTCATTATCATCCTCAGCATCATTATATTCTTTATCATTATCAACTTCATCATCATTATTTTTTTCATCATTGTTGCCTTTATCATCATAATCATCAGTGTTAACATCAGTGATCGATTCACAACTTTTCAAATATATAAATCCAGCTAAAAACAATGTAATTCAAATTACTAAACTGTATAAGGGATTAACCAGGTCTCCTGTGTCTCATACATTTTTTCCAGCTAATCGTTGTCATGTTCAATTTCATTTTTCTCACATCCGACAGATGCAATTGAAATAAATATTTTAGTTGCTAAGAAGTTTTATGATTTTTGCTGCAATAAAAAAGATATATAGTATATTATTCAAAAATCAAGGTTTGAAATTAAGTTACAAATGTTCAATGAAATGTCATTAAACATTTAAAAATGTGTTTAGTAGTCGGATATTATTGAGTAAAAGTAGATAAGAAAATATACATGTAATTACATGCTTTGCAATTGAGTTATATCTGTAGGCAAAGTTATCAGAAGAAATGTAATTCCTTTAAAAATAATTCCTTTAAACATAAAGATATTCTTTAGACACAAATTCCAATATATTTATAAAGTTAGATTTATTTAGTTACAAATTTATAAATCTCAACATTTTATACAAGATTGAAAGTGTTGTATTTTTTGTTTGTTAAAAGTAGATTCAAGTCTAATAAATATTTATTGATTATTAAATTAATATTATACTCATTTTGGTATATATTTATTTTGGATATAAATAATATTTCAGTTTGCTTTTGTCAACAGAAATGCAGTGTCCTTATTTCCTCTCTTATATTTGGCTTCCCAAGTATCATACTAAAAAAAACTCATAAAATATATATTTTTTGCTTGAAACTTGAGCACAATGCTTCCTGTTAGTACTCTAAGGGGGAAAAAAATAAATGTTTAACTCGGGGTGGATATGTTTTCTGTAAAGTGAAGAACCATTGTTTTTTGTACAGTATTATTTCTTTCGCCAGTTAACACACAGCAAAAATATATCTCATTTCTTCTTCTAGTGTTACAGTTTACTTGCTTATTTTGGCACAAGCTTTAGTAAATTATATCGTGTCTTTCCCTTTTGAATTGTAGACAGCAACGATAGCTATTGATGACTGTGATATCGAGGTGGCGTTACATTTTGAATCCTCTGAGAACACAGAGTACAGATGTGCCGCAAGAGCAACTCAGGATCGTAGCGAGAAAAAGTAAGTTCAGTTCAGTGCAGTAGCAATTCAATTCATCTTAATTCCGTACCGTAGAATACATAAATATCAAAGATAAAGATGAATGGAGAGTGGATCTACAAAAGAATCAATGGCAACATTTTTTACAATTCCCATCCTTCAACAAATTGAGTGGAGTGGAGTTGAATAGCTTAGTGTTTAAGATGTTTGCCTTCTAATCCTAGAGTGGTGGGTTCAATTCCTGTCACAGTATAGGTTTTTTTTTTCTCACGACCAAAAACAACTCCACTTCCTAAGCCCGATAATGAGACTCAGTTTACGTAGAGCATCTTGTGTTTATGTTTGTCTTGTGAAGGGATATGCTACTTAAAAAAGTGATTCAGTTTGCTGTTTAGCATCCTTGTTCATCTTTGGGCCTAAAACAAATTTAGAATTTAGAAAGAAACACATAAATTATATAAGTTACAGTATTTGGTTGATTGAATGACATGTTGTATCACTGTAACTGAACGAAGGAAGGAATACATAACTATTTTTTAATGAAACTATTGTTGTATAGACAGGATAAATGAGTATTTAATTAATCTTAAATTATCTTATTATTATTACTATATATATTAGATGATTTTGATGCTAATTGAGCTAAAGAATGATAAAGAATATATTTTATGAGGAATTATAGTTAATCTAAAATGACCAAGTCTTCATGATACAGTGCTTGGGAAGAATATTTTCTATGTTGTTCTTTGAATTTTTTCCTTGATTGTACAAAGAACTCATTTAAAAAAACTTTAAAAAATTTTTATTTTTTTTTTCAATTTGGCAGATTTCTGGACCTGACCGGGCCATTCATAATCGGCGGTCTCCCTGCAGTGCCAGACCCATTTCAAGTGACGAGTACAGATTTTATTGGTTGCATCCGAGACGTTACGATCGACAATAATCTCCTAGATCTGGCCTCCAGCGTTGAAGATTATCTCACTCAGCCAGGATGCGGTGCAAAAGAGAATTACTGTCGCCAAGGTGGTTTGTGCAAGAATGGCGGGACGTGCGTTAGTAAATGGAACACTTACCAATGCATGTGTCGTGAAGGTTACACTGGTCAGCGATGCGAACAAGGTAAACATTTCTTCATCATTGTGGAATATTTTGTGCGTAGGCCTTCTAAGCACAGAATTTTGTGAACCAAGAAAAATATACACGGTAGTGTATCTAGTGGGTGAGCTAGGGACGCACTCTCTCCCCCCCTTTGTAATTTCTTTATTTTGAGCTGCAGATGGTGTTTTTCTCCTCCATCTAAATTAGACTTCCCAATTTATTTTTCTGTTTTTATGGACCTTCCAAAAATATTCTGAGACTCTTCAAGTTTGCAAAACATCAATTATCTCCAGAATGATGTCCAATTTGACTAAAGTTCAACCAATTTTATTGTTACCAGAGGAAGGTACTTAAAGAAATGCCAATCACTAGAGAGAAATAAAGAAAGTTCTCCGGAATAATAGGCATAATTGTTGAATGTTGAGCATCCTTTTTGCCTTGCGGCTACTTTCTTTATAACCGGTTTGGTTTTCTCTCATTCCTTGGTATATTATATTGACTAATAAATCAAGGTGAGGGAGAAATATTTATTCTGGCAATGAATCATCCATGATGGACACCTCACATGAGGCCCTTAAGCTAGTAAGCAGTGCATTGTCGGTAAGGTTCGTCAATTTAGATTTTTGTCACCAGGGAGTTCCTTTCATGGTAATGTTTGCAGTATTTTGACGCTTGCGTTGCATAAAGATTTTGCCGCTGTTTCAGAGTTGACGTTAAATTCCCAGTTCTTTGTTACCTTTCACAGTCAGTCTTTGCGAACAGTTCCAATTTACAATATTTTGTGTTCAGGATATCGGTCTACCAGAATTACAAACATTAGGCTTGGAAATACTTTTATTTGATGATGATAATAATTTTATTAATAGTAATAATTTGATTTACCAAATGTGTTTTATAGCGCTTCATATTAATTGTTAGTACTCTTCTTAGTAAAGTACTCTTAATTTTTATTATTTACTGTTTAAAAAAAGAATATGTCTTCTTTCTGATACAGTCATTACTACAATGGTTTTGATAAAAAGAAATACCTCTTTAAAAAAAATAACCCATTTGGTGTTGAATTACTATTATTTTCTCTAAATTTAATTATTTTTAAATATTTTATTTTATTTTTTTTTTTACAATTTTCAGCAAGCTGTTTTAAGGTTTTGTGGGTCTGAGTTTAAAAAATGTAATATTAAAATGTTTCTGTACGTCAGATTGTAGTTGCATTTTTAGACTTTGATAAATAGGGGCATATAACCTATACCGTCATTAGTTATCGGTTCAAATCTTGTTGAAACAGCGAGGTTAAGTGTTTCAGAAAGCATTTGCCTTGAGGATAAATAGGTGTTTCCAAATGGTGTATTGGAAATGTCATCTTTCTGGATAATATTCAAATGTTGCATATTCCAGTTAATAATATAATAATTCCAACTGATTCTACAAATATCTTGAATTGACCGAGCGTATGTGCTTTGCATATCAATGCAGACGTGAAGTAAGCACCCTGTAACATCTAGGTCACACATGCTTTACATGCTCTTCATAATTTTATTTCTACACAAAACACTCGATTAAAGATTTGTAATATAAAGTAATTTTGGTCTGTGAGAATTGGAAATATATTATATTTTTGTTTTAAAAAAACAAAATCATTAATAATGAGAGAGTGGACTCTCCTAATAGCGGAGGAGTTTATTCATTTCAACCATGCAGTTATAAAATATATTTCAACACAAAACTATAAACGCTATGCTCACGCTAGCCGTCTGACAAGTCGCCAGCAGTAAGTAAAGATACTGTTTACAAAAAAAGTAATGGCATCGTTCGCCAAAATGGCTTTAATGTAATCAATAGGTTCCCATAGCAGTTTTACACTTATTCCTGAAATAACATGGATTTCACTACAAACAAAACGTATGGATTTTCATAATTGTATCCAATTATTCTGAACTTAAATAAAATCAATGATTAATGTTTTGCATTAACCAAAGTTATTGATTTTCATAACTCTTTGACGTTTGTTAATTTAAGCTGTGAACTTAAATTTATCCAATTATCATAAATGGTCACCTAATAAACACCAATAAATGATAAATAATTTCTAATTGGTAAAAAATTTATATAATATAATACTTTATGATACAATTATCAAATTGGTGTCTTAACCAATATAGGAAGTTATTTCATATCTTAAAGTAATTTGATATCGGGTCTCTATTGTATTGTCTTTTTGTGCAGATGTCAAGTTCTATTTACCTACTTTGATGAAAAGTAGTGCATAGTGATGCATTGTTGGGGGGGAGACCATTAGATGATACACCTCAGTGTAACACAATTTACTCGCCTGAAACTGAATTCACCCTGTGGCTGTTTGCATTAACCTATCATCTTTCGTTGTCATTTCTCGCAAAATTTAACATGCAGTGGTGATGATGTCATTACTCTTGAAATGTGAAAAGCATGGAAATTAAGCACGGCGATTTGTTACCATTGATTTCTGTGCTGCAAGTCGTCTAATCTATACACGCATAATGGAAGACATGTACGCTTCGGAATGTATTGTAACTAGTCACTTGGAACTATTCTATCTGTTGATTTTTTACAATCGTTCGCCAGTGTAAAAGCTGCATGTTAAATAGTGATAAAATAAAAAAATGCTTGAATTATGGATTTTTAACTTAACTTATAGATTAATATTGTAAATCATGTTATAACTAGTTAAGTGTATTACCATCAGCAAGTCAAATGCATTAATGAACTTGTAATGGCAAAAATAGAGATACTAGCTTGTTATTCTAACATCAGGATTTGAAATCATCAATCGAGACCATAATGTACAAAGACAACAAGAAGCCATACTGAAAATGCAAGTAGTTCACACAGTCACCTGCGAAAGTTCAAAATGTGAACCAAAGTTTGTGCTTTGATTAGAGTTTAATTAGTTGGTATAGTTCTGTTCACCTCCTATATATCAAAGATAAACAATTTCAAAAAACATGCTAAACATTTGCACCAACACACCTGCTAATTGTTTGTTTGTTTATTTATTTATTTATTTCTAAACCAACAGTGATAAATCACCCATTTACAGGATGGGTATAAAATATATTGTGATGTAAACTCTAAAAATACAAACAATACAATCCATTAATTGTAGTATGGACTGATGTAAACTTAACTTACATACCAGCAATAAAAATATTGAATTTTTTAAACTGTTATTTAATTTCTTTTAATGATAAACATCAAAAAAAATTTTATATGTTTAACTATGGATATAGAAAAGTATTATTTCTGCAATTGTTTTGATAGTAAGGAAATACATGTACTTAAACCACTTTAAGTATACAATTTGAGTATTTAAACGTTGACAGTGAATCCTTATGTATTTTTGTTTCAGAAAAAATAAAACCAAATTATTTATGGTACAAACACTATAATCTGTACCTTATACAACTCTTATTATGAACCAAAATATTCAGTGAAAAGATCAGATATATCATTACAGCAGATTTCAATAAGGCGATTATTATTAGCTCATGCTTGTGTTAGTAAGGTGTGATAATCACTCAGCCGTTTCTATAAATAAAGATTGCTTTTCTTTCAATAAGTGTTTGGATTTTCATTCATGTAGGGTCAAGCCAGATTATGAGATTTGATGGTATGGGGGTAGTGCGTTACGAAGTCACTCCGACAGGCATCACTCTGCCTTGGAAAAATGCTGTATCATTTAGAACGCGGGCCTTGAACGGATTGTTGATGTACATCAAGGTTGGCTCAGTTGAAAGTCAAAAAGAAATCTTTTTCGAGGTAAGTTTTTAAGTTATCTGATAGAAATAATAAATTTTACTGAAATAGCATTGCAACAGTCTGCTCTGACTAGAAAAAATAAACAGTATTTTACTCCATAGTTTAGGACTATATGTAGATCTTTTGTCGTGTTTTCCATACGAGCATTACTGCTATGCCGATTGTAATGTCACACTCATTACAAGAAAGCACAATATTATTGCAGACAACATAGATATATCCAGCAAGTTGATATTTTTAGCAAATGTCACAAATGTGTTTTCATTTCTTGCAGATTGAGAATGGATATGTGCAGTATCGTTACCATTCGAACGTGATCGCGAGAATCAACAGCGTACAGGTGAATGATGGAGAGTGGCACTACGTGGAAGCCGAATGGAAGAACCGCCAAGTGGTTGTCAAACTTGATTATGGAAAAGAAACAGTACGTGACATGCATTGCTTAATCATTTGCATTAAACTCAGTTTATATCTATTTTAATCATTCTAACTTGATATTTAAAGAAACTAGATGAATGTAATGTTCATCATGTTCTTCCTGTTATTATATGTATAAACAATTAATCTGATAAATGGGAAGCTGTCACTTGATTATTTAGGTGATAAGTGTGCGACTTTTTTTTTTTTTATTGTACACATGGGCATTGTTAAACACAGAAGACATGGTTTAAAGATTCTTCAGTTAGACAGCGCAATATAATACATTGTACTTCAGGTTTCAAGCTGAAATACAACTAGGGCGGTATTTGAACTGAGAATCCAAGAATCTCTTTGGTGAAGCGCCCTCACGTTGTGCTTCTTCAAATACCATGTCAGATTCCGATGTTGGCAATCATATCTTTGAATCTGTCTCTATTATTGACGGCATAAATGTGATCAATTCTCCCTTGCCCAGTTGACAGTATTAAGTCATCTAAATACTTTTTCCTTTGCCTTCCCCTAGATCTGGTTCCCTCTATTTTACCTTCTATTGTCAGTTTTTCTAGACCATCCTCACGGATTACATGCCCCAAGAATCACCACTTGTTTAACCAATTGATATATGTTGCTATCAATACAATTAAAATCAAAATGGCTATGCTGCTATTATATATTAATGGTGTATATATATACTGTCTCTTATACACATCTAGATGTGTATAAGATTGTAAATTTGTGCTATAAAACAATAAATAAGGACACGGTAACATCAATCTGTATCATGGAGTGTACAGTATTTAACTGGCATTAAATCACCTAAACTACTGCATAACCCAAGCTTGTATTTAATTTTTTTTGTTTTCTGAAATTCATGTACAGTGTATGTACTGTACAATCTCGAAAAGAAGCCTATGCTATCTTGAAAGGAAGCCCATGGGCTTCTTTTTGGGGCTAATTTTGCAAACTAGAGAGGGTGCTTCAATTTGAAATGGGCATCATCTTGAGATTAAGCCCACTGGGCTTCAATTTGAGTTTTTACAGTAACCTGTAGTATATAAACCAGTAGTAACATATCAGTATTGCCTGTTGATGACTGTTGACATGTCAAAACATGTCGTTTATCAGTATTGTATATATTATTAGATGCATTACTGCATTTATAATTATAGTAATTAAATTGTGTTGTTTTCTTTAAGTGAGTGGTAAGATATGGCTCCTCTGCTTTTGTGGTTTAAATGTTTTATTGTTTAAAATGTTTATAATATTTCCATATCTTGATGTCTTTTTTGCATTTTCTTTTTAGGAAACTGAAACGGTAGTGTATGAAATAGCAGGGTCGCCCGTTAGAATTCTGGAGGTTGGTGGAAAAAACACAAATGAAGAAAATGTTGAATTTGGATTCTCCGGTTGCATTCAGGTATTTTGTTTATTATTACTAAGCAACATAAGTTTATTGCAATTATTAATATGCATATTATTATTACTTATTTTTTTCTTATTGTTATTATATTGATGATACAAGAAATAAATTTTCACAGTTAGAATAAATAATTTTAATATTATAATTAATATTATTTTATTATAATATTTATTTCGTTATTATTATTATTATTATTATCATTTTACAAGACATTCTGTTCATCAATTTCAGTTATACTTCTTAAAACATTTTGATACTGTGGATCAGTAATAATCTTTTTCAATCATCAAATCAGCAAAAATATTTATATATATTTAATATTTCTTGTTTATTTCATTTCATTTATTTATTAACCACAATTTACATGGTAAAATATGGGTAGGGACAGTTAAAGAGAATAGAATCTCTATACCCCATGAAGGGCCAATTGCCCTTTTTACAAATAAACAAAAAAAATGAACAGAGTGCATGTTTACATTTAATTTGAAAGTATGTGATAAATGACCAAAATAAAATTTAATATAAAAAATATATATATAGTCCTATGTATAACATGCTGTATACAACATAAAATAAAGATATAAACATTAAAGGAAAAAGGGAGGTGTAAATATAAAGACAGAAAAAAAATTACTGTCAATCAATAATTTGAATAGAATATAGTACAATAAATATTGCACAATATTAAAACCAGGGTTCCACCCTACAACATCAAAATTGTGCTTCTGGATTTTGTAAAGAAATAAAATATAAAGATTAGATTTGATTGGATTTATTCGGTGTAAACACCAAGGATAGCCCACAAAAGTCTAGAAGAAGGCTTATTTCCAGTGGGGTCTTTCTGGTGGTGATTGGGAGACAATCCCCTACTCTTTTCCGAAGAGTGTACTGCGTTCTTTTACCGTGCACATGGGCCATAAATGCACACGAGACCAACGGCTTAAACATCTCATCCGAAAGACGCTGCGCTATTGTAACTTGTATTACAGCCCTCCAGTTGAAACACAAGGAGAGGCAGCAATGGGAATTGAACTGGGAACATAGAGATCTCCACGGTTCAGCACACACACAGTGACTACCACCAGATTTGCTGACTAAGCTAAGCTGCTCCCTAAAGATTATATGTATTATTTATTTATTAACATTTGAAAACCTTTTGTTTTTCAGGGTGTAAAGGTTGGATCCCTGACTCTAATTGTTGACGATAGCAATACACATAATGTTGCTGATGGCTGTGATTACAACAACCCTTGTGAATCTAACCCATGTCCTGATGACTCTCGTTGTATAGACGACTGGATGGCATACCATTGTGAATGTAACACTGGTAAGTAAAGCTTGTGAATACATTTAGCTGAGGTGAGACTAAGTTCTTAATTGATTGTATCCACGTTTAATCCACGGCGCCGCGTCTTTTGAATTTGTGATTTATATATGTCTATTGTCAGCATCAAGAAAAGAATAGATGTTTTTATGCCAGATCTGTCTGTGTTGAGATAATAAATTATTTTAACAATAGCAGTCGGTGTTTGAATTCTATCCACCTTTTGATTATTTTTTTGTATCTTATTTACTGTGTATATATTTTATATATTTTATTGGTGAAAATAAATATACATTTTGCCCACCAATTCGCGACCATCTTTGGGTCCTGAAAATTTAAGGGTAATCTTGGGGTTCCATCTCCAATTAGAGGGTTAGCTTTGCGTTAAAACATTGATGATTATTATTTGGTTCTTTGAAGAATTGTCTCAAATGAGAGGGGTCTTGGGATTAGAGGTGTCTCAAATAATACAGTATAAAGTATAATTTTAAATAATGTCTTTAATGTATAATAAAACAAACACTTTTTATGCTCATTAAATTATACAAATCTTGTGCTGTTTCACTTACATCTGCTTAATTATGACTCGAGAATCGTGAGAAAAACACATCCATGATCTGTGAAATGTCACTTGTACTTCGCAGTGTTTGCTCACGCATATCACATTATCATTTGTCTTACTTTAATGTATATGCACCTGGACTTTTTTTACAATAAATTTTTAATGAGATTCAATATATTTACCAAGAATTGTAATATTTATTGAATTGAAATTTAATATGTACTCTGAAGCACAAGAACAGTATTGTAAACTATAGCTTGCACAAAGCCATATACTGTAAAGTGTTAATGGAATGATTCATGGTTTTTTTTTTTCTCTCTTCTCTTCTTAATATGATTTATAGATCATTCTATGATTGTTTTTACATATTCCATAAAAAAGTAGTTCATTGAGTTTATGTTTAAGTAATACAATACTCTTATGGACCTCTGAACATGTAGTATTTTACATTTTATAGAAATAAATTTCCAATTAATTTGTTCAGTAACAAATCTTGGATTTAAGACATAGGAAATTATGCTCCTGTGTGTGTAATAATGGAAAAGCTGAATGCTTTTAAATTCAGACCATCATACATAAAAGCTAAGCTGTTATTGGTCCCTTGAGCCTCTTAATATATTACATCATAAGATGGAAGAACGATATTCATGGGTTGAGACGTTTTTTCAAGATTTGTGAACTAGATATTGGATAAAGAACGACTGAATCTATTTGACCGACTGATCATGCAGGGGTCCCAAGTCTCCCGGTACTCCTGGGAAATCAGTATGGACTCCTGCAAACAGCAAAAATCTCCCTGAAATTCACTTATCTCCCGCAAATTCAGTAAAATACAAATCTTTTTGTTTTATTTTTAGGCCTAAACTTTGGTTGCCGATTATTTTTTGCAGTCTGACAGTGCCATTTCCGGGCTTCTAAAGGTTCCTATTCTAAAAAAATTTCATCATCTCAGGCCCAGTCATGGTGGGTCTGAGGTGGGCGTGGGCTTTCGCTTGGTACCTACACTTTTTCCTCATAAAATATATAGTGCCCCTAATGTCATTAAAGAATCTCCCGGAAATGGGTTCTTCCAACTTGGGACCCCTGGATGTTGTAATGTCTTGAACATTATTTGGTCAACAACATAACATCATCAATCATTTAACACTTTTTTAATGTTGTTAAAACAGTGAGATAATTATGTAAAAATAAACAAACAACATTTTCAAAATATTTATCAGGATAATTATATATATATATTTTTTTATTTGATTTATTTATTATCTTTAGCAGTACAAATACACAAAAACTAAAATAATATTCAAAAATAATTAAAACAAAAACAACTATTAGGAGATTAGGTTTTTGCAAAGAGAGCTCCTTTTATCATCATTTGTGACAAGCCAGTTCTTTTACTTTAATAGAAATGTGCTATATTATTATTGTTCCTTTTTTTTATATTTGGTATCTTGTCACATTTTCATTGTATTCATCATCATAAACATTTATATATTTATTCTATTTTTTCATGCTCTTTTTCATATCTTCATTATCATTCAATATTTATATCATAGTTATCAAGTTTATATGAAGTTTTACTATGCATTATATTTTATTGATTCATATTTTTTGTACTTCATAAAGTCAAGTCAAATATACATTTTAAGAATTATTTTGTATACTGCCATTGAAATATATTATACATTTATTAATACTTTGCATACATATAAAATATATTATTATTTTTTTTGTAGCACATTTTGGGCCTGAGTGTTCTGGAGCCTGTGAACTAGACATTTGCAAGCACGGCTCATCCTGCTCCATGAATCTAAAAACCGAGATGGGGTATGAATGTGAATGCTCCAAATCGTTTTACGGAGACTACTGTGAAAATCGGGTTGAGCAATGCAGCAACGGCTTATGGGGATTCCCCATATGTGGGCCGTGCAATTGTGATCCAAATCTGAGGGAGAACTCGGCATGTAATAAAACAACCGGCGAATGTACTTGTAGAGTATGTCAATGTTTTCTTTATTATTATTTTATTCTCGATTAACAGCAAACATTCCAGCACACAATTTACAGTATGTGTTTTACTATGCAATACTCTTTAAACCGATTCTGCCATGAGGGCGGACTTGTTTTGAGTGATGAGGAAAATAATCTACCAGTTACTGGATTTGAACCTAGGACCAAGGGTGGCATGCGAACACCTGAACTGCCAGGCAACAACGCCACTTCTCTTCACATTTACTTCCAATTTATGCTTCTTGAATTTACTGTGATTTTTACAAAAAATTTCTAATATACATTGTACGTATCAATTAGTGGAATATTATAGTATAATCAAGATTTTTTTTCAGGCTTACCACTACAGGAAAGGAGAACAGTGTTTACCCTGTAATTGTTATGGTCCTGGTTCGTATGGACCAGAGTGTGGTGACGATGGACAGTGTTTGTGTCTTAATGGCGTAATTGGAGAACGTTGCGATGATTGCACGGATCCCTTCGGGGAGGTTATAGACGGAAAAGGCTGTGAAGGTATAATATTGAAAATTGAAACAATTTCTATTAAATATCTATAATGATAATACAGCAGTAATAATAATAGAATTCTAAGTGGAAGGTAGTCATAATAATATATGTTAATATTAATCTGCTGGTAGTTATATTATTGTAATTTGATAAATTAGAAAATTAGTAAGTATATTATATTGGTTTATTTTTTATTGAGTAGTTTTTATTCACTCCAACTCGTGCACTTCGTTCTTCCAATAAATTTCTTCTTCAAGCCCCTTCAAAAAGGAAAAAGCTAAAAACATATGGACAATGCTCTTTTTCTGTTCAGGCACCTTATCTTTGGAATCTATTACCTCTTTCTGTTCAACGTTCTTCAAATTTAAACTCATTTAGAACTAATTTGAAAACTTTTTTGTTTATGAAATCTCTTTAATTGGGTTAATTGTTCACTGCGCCTTTAATAATGTTTTTTTGAATTGGCGCGTTATAAATTTCTGTATATTATATTATTCACTAATTTATAAAACATGATCTTCAAATTATTCATTTTACTGTTTTTTATAATTTACAGCAATTTATCGTAATTTTTCATTGTCAATTACAGTGGTTTATGATTCATGTCCGCGCCGTTTCAAGGAAGGACTCTGGTGGCCACGTACAAAGTTCAATAAAGTAGCGAACGTTCGTTGTCCAAATGGTACCATCGGTGACGCGACACGTAGATGCGACATAAATACCGGGTGGCTAGATCCTGACTTGTTTATGTGTACTTCCATCAGCTTCCAAGGCCCCTCTAAAACAGTAAGGGAATTACTTTTTTCTTTTATTACTATTATATATTTAAAGATAGCGTAATAACGATTATGTGACAATGTACGTACAGTATTCACTTTGGAGTACACTTGCACAATGTGTTTATTGGTTGGTAAATGTGAAAACAGTTTCCTACTCGCCTTCCAATTTAAAGCACACACAGCGCAGTTTTTGAACATGCACACAAGCCTCGACACAGCTAGGACCAACAACTTGAACATCTTTTTCCGAAAGATAAAAGACTAGTAGTAACATATTTTTTTCAGGCTTTCAGTTTAAACACAGAAAACAGTAATATCTCTATAGTTCATAATGGCTAACACAATTGTAACAGAAATACTGTTCTCTAAATCTCAGTATATACAAAGGATAAAAACAAACATTCTCCAATGATTATTTTTATTTTTTTTTCCCTTTTTAATATTCAGTTAAAGGAATTAGACAGTGGCCAGAAACTGAACAAAGCGCTTTCTATTGAAGTCGTAACTTCGCTAGAAAGTGCTCTGCAGAAAACTGGGAAACTGTATGGCAACGACGTCAGTATTGGATACAAACTTCTCAATCGTGTTCTGGAACACGAAAGTAAACAGAAGGGGCTGAATGTGACCGCCACTCAAGAGAGCACGTTCATCGGGGTGAGTAGCCGGAGCTGACCGTGTATTTGTGTTTCGTGACCGTGTATTTGTGTTTCGTAAAAGTGGCTAATTTACCTACAAAGAACTTATAAACACAAGATAGCGTTCTCTGCGATATCCGTGTACAAATTCTGTAATAACGCAGTGTATAGCACCCTCTTGCAAAAATGAAAACTTTTGAACCTTGACTGATTTGACATGGCGTACACCGTGCGATTATACCTTTATGCGTAACAACTAGAAGCGTTGATTTACAATTAAGTAACGATAACGTACTTGGTAACAAACGTTGCCAAATTGACGCTTCCATTTGTTACACGTAAGTCACAGAGAACGCTATCTTGTGTTTATAAGATCTTTCTTTACCTATCACAGTGTTTTATTTTCATAATTTTCACTGTAGACTTGTTTTTACATCATGCCAACATCATGCCATGATGTATAATTCATAGGCTTGAAACCTCGATGGGGAAAAAAGCCATTATTTCTACTTTTTCTGGGATTTAGATCAGTTGTTATGTAGTAATGTTTTTGCATTGTATTTTATTTTGTTAGATCTTTACAATTCTAGTAAAATCAAATCAAGCCTGTGTTACTACAAACTGCTAGGCCTATTTATGTTGCTAAGTCTTCTCATTGATCGACCCAGAAGGGAGCATGTATAATGTTCCTTCCCCCTGGCTTGACTACCCAAATTATAATTCTCCTTACTAAAATAGATTAAAAACTACAGCCCAGCCCCTTTGAACCCCTGTTCTTAAAATCATGGATCGATCCCTATATAAAATGCCATCTTTAGGGCTACTAGTATACTGAAGTCACCACTATTATTGTTTCCTACCCACTGTCTCTAGCTTTTATTTTTTATTTATTTATTTATTTAGGTACACAATACATGTGCAAAGGATTGTCAATAGCGAATATATCACTATCCTACTTATATCACTATCCTACAGCTTGATGTGTATATAGTCCCAGTTTTTCAGTTTTTCACATCAATATAGACATTTGTCCTTTTTCATTTGCCACTTTCTAGGTGTCAAACTACTTTGTTGCTAAGGAAACAGTGAATAATTAACCTACATTTTCTTTTTATTGGACCATGTATATTATTATTGTAACTGAAAAGCAGCAACAATATGTGCTCTAAATTAATAATGAAAGTATCCAAGCAATTCTGTAACATACAATCCCAATCATGTATAATGTAATTAAAGGTGGCATATTGTAAAAACGTTCTTGCAGTCAATCATAATGAATGGAATCGACCGATTTTGTACGATACTACAACAATAATAATGTAATTAGGCACAGCAATTGTCATGACAACGTGGCATTTAATTTATTTTTTATTTTTCTTAATTACAGAAAGTAATATCAAGTCTGAACCATTTGTTGGATGACGCAAACCAAGGTCATTGGTCGATCATTCAGCAGGGGCTAGGGGGCACCGCGGATCTCATGAAGAATTTTGAACTGTTTTCCATCAACATTCCCCGTGAATCAGACTCAATTACCTACACACCTAACTTCACTTACGCTACAGAAAATGTTGGTAAGTGCGCTTGTCAGGCGTGACAAATACACATTTGAAATGCTCAGACGTCTAATTTCCTTCTAACACAACAATTACTGTCAGAACTTACTTAGTCTAATTAGTAAACTACAGAAATTTTTCAATTATTATACTTTTATTTTTGTGCTGTATTCTCAAAAAAACACCGAATCATAATACGAGAACCTGAGCAGAATGAATTTATGATTACTTCTATATCAATAGTTTTACCTTTTCATGAAAAGCAATTATGTTTAGGGAAGGGGAATCTCAACAAGTGAGCTCTATTTGTTTTATAAATTTTATCACATTTAGTTTTTGAAATAAATGTTAATATAAAAATAATATAATACTTTTTAATCATTTTAGTGATGAGGTTCCAGTTTTTGGAAAGAAACATCTCAAACATGACAACAATTCCACAGTACGAGAAAGATGACGTCGTCGACCATACAACCCGCATATTACTTCCTAAGTCCGCAATCCAACCGAAACCGACCGTTACCGGACCAAGCCTATCAGGAATGTGGGAAAATGTGGCCGTGGCCTCGTTTATACTGTACACCGATCTTGGAAAGTTATTACCGATGACTGGCGATCACACTGTTGAGTACGTTAAGCATGTTTTACACCAGGCAAATTTATTCACATGAATTAAAAACGTTGGTTCATGGACATGCGCATTCACATTTTTGGCTTTAGCGAAATCAGTAGTTCGAACTGTTTCTACTTTTTGTGAAGCGAAAAAATGTGCAACCAATCAGAGCTCAGGAAGCGAACTGACGCTTTCAATTTACGTGAATAAATTCGCCTTGTAGAAAACAGGCTAAGAAGATTCAATTTCCAATTGATACGATAGATTTGCTTTTTGCCTTGAAACTCAGTTGTATCAACTAAACTCCCTATAAACCCCTAATTTCTTGAATACCTTAACAAGATTTTAGGATGATTATCAGAGATGAAAATCTAAAATATGAACTTTAAACTCCTCCTAGTTTTGCTTCAGGGAATGCTTCCAATTTAAATTTAAAATGAGATGTACCGTAGATATTGCAATTGTTTGTGCTTATGATTTCTTTAACCTAACCTTGTTTTTGTTTTTCCTTAGGCTGTCGTGTGGTTCTGGGTGCCATATTGTTGTGAATACTCCAGTTGTATCTCTCAGCCTCTTTGATGCTTTAGCTAACGGAACCGTTGCCAATCCTCTACCTGATCCAATCATTATTGAGTTCAAATTAGACAGTACCCTTAACAAGACCAATCCCCAATGTGTATTTTGGGACTTCACAATGTAAGTTCTAAGATATAATTTTATTGAATTAAAATTATACTAGAATGGAACTAGATATAATCCTCCTTGACTTCTAGTATACTTTGCACCATGACTATTTATCAATTTTTTTTTCTTATTTCTTTTTTTAACCATAATTTATAGAGGGAGAACCTTCCAGCCTATTTTAGATATTCAGGGGTCCTCTTAAATATATGAAATAAAGTAGTACTTTTATCAGCTAAGTCTGCTTATGAACCTTAAGCCAGGTGCTGACTGCGCCCGACTGTCGGTGTCCGACATATTTCTATGGAGGAACGCAAATCCACAATGTGTGCTCACGGGCAGCAAAGTTGGATTCGTTGTACGACAGTCGCAGAGCGTGCCCGCTGCTTGGAGTGGAGTTGTTTTTATTCAAGATAAAAAGTCCTCTCACAGGAATTGAGCCCAGGACCCTAAGATTAGAAAGGAAACATCTTAACCACAATGCTATTCAACTCCACTCCACTTTATTATTAATATTATGATTCATTCTGTCTGAACAATACTTGATGTAAATTATGCATATCGTAAGCATTTGAATCAAATTCAAAATGAGGGAAGTTATGATTTACATTAATTGCATGGCAGTTGAGTTGAATTTGAGTGCACAGCTTACAGTGATTGTTTATATTTATAATAAATGTCATGTTTAAATGCAATTTTGATTGATGTCTGTTGAAAGGACCAACATACTAAGGTAATAATTCTAAATACACTGCATTTAACCTTTTGTTTGGTGTTTAATACTATAATATTGATTGAACAATGCCAATTAAAGAAATATAATGAATTTAAGTAGGACATAACAAATACAGTATGGTATATTAATGCTTGCGGTACACAGGTAGTTCTGAAATAAACTAGTTTGTTGAGAATGTCTCGACGTTTTGATTGAGTTGCTTCAATCAATTTCAGCAAATATGATACAGTTAGGAATTGTTAACCACAGAAAGGTAATATATGAGAAATATGGTGCCTTGTTCCAAATAGTGGTGGAGTGGAATGGTGGTTATACTTGCCTTTCCATTGGGGTGGGGGTTCAATTCATCTGACAATAGGATGTTTTTGTCATGACTAAAGCTCTTTCCACACTATCAAATTTTCTTTGACAAAAATCTATTGTATGCCCATATATAGTCATGATGTGCTTATGACATCACATCATGACCATATTTAGGCAAGTAACATGTTTTTGTCGAATAAAATGTTGTAGTCTAGACAAGGCTTAAAACAACTTCACTCCCTAATCCTCATTTTAGTTTATAAATGTTCCAATGATTGATTACATGGTTTTATATTATAGGAACAATGAAAGTGGAGGCTGGTCAAGCAAAGGATGCAGCTTGCAAGGACAGTCAAAGGAAAAGGTCTCCTGCGCTTGCAACCATTTAACAAATTTTGCTGTCTTGATGACCTTTAACCCATCACCGGTAAGTGATACATAATGTTAGCTAAAGAGAGGAAGGTGGCTTAATAATGACAAACATGTAGCCAAGACCACTGTTTCATTTAGGTAGAATTGATTGTTCTAATAGTTTAATCAATTTATGTGCCATCATTTTTCGTAATTATGATCATATAAACCGCCATCCTTCTGACCATAATCACCATTGTAAATCAATCGTGACGTTGTCAATGTAACTCACAATTTTATTTCCTATCCCCAACCAAAAAAAAAAAAAAATACATCATATATATTAGTATATGATATTACATTAGTATTTTATTATTTAAAAAATTCCTTCGGGCCTTGCGGGAATTTTTTTTTTTTTTTTTTTTTTGCATTAATCCTACTTCTGTATAATAATTTCCACATAGTGTATGATATACACATTATAATGATCAAGATCATCACAATCATTATAATGATTGCCTGATTATCATCAACATCATCACAATCATCTCACCTTTGTCATCATCATCATTTCACAATTTAATACTAGGCACTTTACACAAGAGGCACTGTTGACAACGGAAGTTTGGGTTAAGCACCCTATTGTTTACTGTGGTCTTCACGCTCTATGAGCATAAAACCACCGTCCACCCTTCCTTCCTCCCGTCCTGTTGCGTAAAGTGCGTATTCTTACCTTTGTAGTGGATCTTTACTCCATGCAATATATTTCATATTTTTATATATGAAATATATTTCCTATATATGTTGTTATATCATCACAATGGATGCTTAGGTCTGAATTTATATAGAAATTAATAAGCTTTGTCTTTTTAGGTGCATGCGCCACCACCCATGGCATTGGATTACGTGGTCAACGCTTGTCTAAGCATCTCGCTTCTTGCACTAATGATGGCGCTCTTTAGCTTCACATGTCTTTCGCATTTGTACTCCAACCTAAATAGTATTCATGTGAACGTTGTGATATCGTTGGTGATTGCGGAGATCATCTTCATGATCGGTATTAGTAGCCCAAATGAGGTATGAGAAAACCAGTTTACTACTGTACTATTATTGGGGCTGTTATTCGTATTACAAATATAACTGCCTTTACTATTATTCCAACTATTGATATTATAATTATTATTATTATTAGTCATATTACTACTTGCCTTGTTTGTATATTTGAACCCCATTATTTTTTTTTTCTTATTGTTGCTGCCATACAGGTATGACAATAAAATACATGGGAACTATACCATTGATTATAATATATTGATTATGTTACCAAAGTAATAGATCAAACTATAGGTGTCACCACATATTTAATTTAATTAACTTTTGTCAAAGATACTAGAAATACAAGATAGAGTTCTCGCATTGTAAAAATGAGGCGGAAGTCGTGCCCAACGTAGACGGCACCCTTCTTTTTAACCATGCAAGTTTCCTATACTTCGTGCCCAACGTACAGGGCGCCCTTCTGTTGCTATGTATATCCAGACGCAAAAGGCGCCCTTCCTTTTCCACTAATAGAGGAAAACATTTTCACTAAGAGTGCGTCCGGCCATGCGATTCTGCGCTGTATTGTTGTTTTATTCTTTACTGATACATGATTATGCTTTAATTGTTTTGTGTATTATTTGGATAATAGCAACGATTTCTACCGCCACCAAGGAGGTTATGTATTCACCGATGTCACTGTCTGGGTGTCTATTCAAGTTTGTTTTTATATCTAGTATCTTTGTTGATAATTGATAATAAAATAGGCGACGACTAGGTAACGAAAGTTTGGCACAAGTTTTTTAGATCCAGCTGTAGGGGGCGTCCCATTTTTCGTATTCCCACCATGCATTTCGGTGGAACACGGTGGAACACTTTTTTTGTGTGGAGAACTCTATCTTGTATTTCTAGTATCTTTGCTTTTGTGTAAAAAAATAACCGAATATATTGATCTTTTTCTGTAGTCTTTCTGTACATTCGTGGCTATCACTCTACACTTCACCCTGCTGAGTGTATTTTCGTGGATGTTCATTGAATTCTTTCACCTGTACCGTATGATGACCGAAATCCGAAACATCAACCACGGTCAGATGACGTTTTACTACCTCGTTGGCTACGGAATCCCAGGAATAATAGTTTGCCTCGCGGTGCCTCTTAGCATCGAGGAATACAGCATGCAGATAAATAATAGCAATGAGCACTTGTGAGTAACATTAAGTAACATTTTGTCGTGTTTAGACCACTTGAGAAGATATTTTTTTTATTTAAATTTTTATTATATTTTCTTATTGATTTTAATATTTCATTTTGTTGCAGTTGTTGGCTCTCAATCAACCACAAACTTATATGGAGTTTTGCTGCACCTGTCATAGCAACAGTTTTCGTAAGTATTTCATTATTGTGTTGAACGCTTGTGGTACACCACGTAGATAGTTCTATAAGAACTGTTGTTGTTGAGAATTTCTCGTTTGAATTAAGATGCTTCAGGAGAATAATATCTGCAGAGAGTCCAAACAGGGAAATTTTTAAATGATTGGAAGGTGAAGCTTGCTTCTAATTAGTGGGAAACAATATTTTATTTCGCCATTATTCTAATAATGGCCCTCAAAAGACAGAGCAGCATATCCACTGGGTGCTGAACCATGGAGATCATTAAATCTTGGGGTCCCAAGTTGGCAGATCTTCCAGATATCTGGTTAAGGGAGCTTTTAGAACACATCGAATATTATTTGTCTGCGCAAGACCTATCACCAGCTGACATCTGGTAGGTTATTGATAGAACAGTAGTGGAAACATGTAAATATAATGAATTTGCAGGAGACGGGTTAGTTTCTGGGAGGTTTTAGCTTGCCTACGGGAGTGCAGGATGCTGCCTCTACTTCTGGGAGACTTTTGTGCTGTCATCCTAGAAGCATCATACCAGAAACAATCCTTAATAACTTAGTTACAGTCATATATTCTAATACATTTAATATGAAATTACAACTTGAAGGTACCTCTTCATTATGAATTAAATACATACATGAATGTGTAGGCAACAATTTTATATCAAGAACAGTTTATTATATCTCTTTATGATTTAATTTCAGTTCAATTTGGTGTTGTTTATCATGGCCATTCGAGTCCTATTGCAGAGCACTGATAAAAACGCTGAATTTGCAGGATTGAAGTAAGTACTTTTATTACAAATTGTTTTTTACTAGTATTTTTTATCTTACAGTTACCATCATTTCCGGTCTGTGTTTAATATTATTTTATTATTATTGATTGAACATATTTATAATTTTTCTTTATTATCATTGTTACTGTTATCTTCATCGTCTTCATGACTAATATCATCATTGTCATTATCAATGTTGTCATCATTATCTTCACCATCATTGTCATCATCATCATTATCAGCTTCACTATTATTGTCATCATAATCATCATTATCACCATCGTTATCAACATCAGTGTTGTCTTCATTGTCCATCATCATCATCATCATCTATAATATTAGATTTATTTATAATTTTAATATTTCTAATTATTTATTTTTTATAATATATTCCAATATTTTTGTAGTAATAACTAATTTTTAAAAATAAATCTATCAATATATTTTGTATGATTGTGTTCAATAATTGATTTTTTATCCATTGACATGACTGCTATTTTCATGATCATTCTTGATAGCAAAGAAGAATGATTTTGAGGTCTAGAACGACTGTAATGCTGTCTCTGTGGAGATTGAGATTAACATCAATTTTAGGATTTGCTTCATATGTGTCCTGTCATTTGGCTTGTGACATTTACAAGCTAATGCATTCATCATCATTAGAATGTCTGTCTACCACCTCAGCATTACTTTACTCGTTCAAGTCCTTTTTAAATATCCGACCTCGATAGCTTATTGAAAATTTTAATCTTTAAGGAAATCTAGCTTTTGTGGAAAATTTCAATCTTCAGTAAGTTGATAAGTAGATCTTGTTAGCACTTTCACCATCAAAGCTATTCTTGTCTTGAAAGACTTTTGGAAAGATTATAACTAATTGTAATAAAAGCAAACTAAGATAAATATCATGAGTGATTTTATATTTGCTTGTTTTTTATCTCTGCTTATTTGTAGAGCCCTAATGTAAGTATCTTGAATATTATATTTCAAACTGTTTTTAGATTTAATGCTGACTTATATTTTGATATTCAAATATTTATTGCTATTGTTATTTTGCCACAGAAAATGTAATTTATATTACACTTTGCACCTACACATGCTGGCATATGAGTTTTGCAAATAATTTGTTAAATATTATTTTCCAATTTGTATGTGATAATATGCATATCAGATCTTATTGGCTGTAAAACACCTTGCATGTTAAAAAATAACGGGTAAACTATGTTTAATTTTGTGGATATTTTTGCATCATTATCTTTTGCTTGACATGTAATCAAATTTGCATATTATTTATATGCAAATAGAGCAGGTGGCTTAAATGCATAAGGACATTAGTATACAAGTGGTGGATACAGATTAATTCTAAGTCATGCATCTTGCACATTAATACACTGTTACTTCCCTGAGTAGCCAAGTTTTTATGTACTTTCCTAATGCATTCGTGCAATTTACCTAATTTGTAAGTGATCCGTTGTTGGAGAGGTGAACACGCATTTTGTATGTACTTCTTACCGATGTTCACGTAGTGCTGGTGACCAGTCGAAGCATGTGCTAATATATAGTCATCTCCGAATGTTATCAATCATAGTTTGAAAGCATTTGCAAGTCGTTCTGTTTATGTTAACCCCCGGTAACATGTCGTTTAATGAGCCCTGATGTCTGACTTTGTTTATAGTTTGTCAGTGGTTCCCGTCACCAGATGACATGTCTACGATTTCCATTTACTTGGAAGTCTGTGGTTGATTGATAACACTCAGGTTTTCTCAAGCTGTGATTATAATTCTACAAGTCCTTGTCCCCTTCATTAGTTTAATATTTATTATAATTTGTTTGATAATAGTATTATCCAGTGGACAGTTTCAGAATGGACAAGAAATATACATGCGAACATTTAAAAAATCCAAATTTGATATACTATACATCAATATTTTATAAAATTATACAAACATCCTTTGTCTTTGAGGCTAATGGTTTGTCCTTATGGAAAATTTGAATCCCAAAGCACTGACATGTGTATTTCTACTTACAGAAAATGCTACATTTCATGAACCTTTAATTGAGTATAAATTTAGATTTAAGATGAGCAATGTAGCATATCCAATAAGGCAGACTGCAAGTAGAATTATGCTGCATTGCTTATAAATTTAAATATGATTTCAGTTTCAGTTCAGTAAAATTTTATGGAATTAAATTATGTAAAAAAGTACAGAAGACAACAATATACACTTAAACACATCTAGATGTGTATAAGAGACAGCATATCCACTGGGTGCTGAACCATGGAGATCATTAAATCTTGGGGTCCCAAGTTGGCAGATCTTCCAGATATCTGGTTAAGGGAGCTTTTAGAACACATCGAATATTATTTGTCTGCGCAAGACCTATCACCAGCTGACATCTGGTAGGTTATTGATAGAACAGTAGTGGAAACATGTAAATATAACAAATGCATTCTTAATTCAAATGAACATAAATATACCAAATAATTATATAACAACTTACAGATAAACAGGTTAATAAATATTTGTATATAATTATTTTTGTTGTTATTATTTTAAGTATTTTTCTACAATAACTGAAACTCTTCTCCCTTCTTTTTTGTAGGACCAGCTTATGTGCGGCAGCAATTTTGTCACCGGTTATCTGCATTACCTGGGTTTTTGGATTACTAGCTGTCAATAAGGACAATGATGCTTATTATTATCTATTTGCTGTCTTCTGTTGCCTCCAGGGTATATTTATCTTCATCTTCCACTGTCTCATAAACTCCAAGGTACTGTAAACTGTCATGCAACATGTTTGTTCTTATTCTACTGTAGTGTATATCAAATTAGGATATTGTTATGTTTTATAATTAATGACAATTTTATCTAGAATAGAAGTAACAAATAGAAAAGTATTATGATGATAGAAATTTATTGGAACCTATGTGATGACTGTGGTTTATGTATGTGTTGGAGTGATCATAATTTGTGAGTGTGATATTAAGGTTATATAATTAAGTATACTCGATAACAGCATGTTGGTTTTGAGTTTTGGCTTTCAATTATTACTATTGCCATTATTAACATTACTATTTATATTTCTTATTCACTTTATCATTAACATTACCATCAAATCATCACGTAATTATTATTATCGTAATATTTTCCATGACATTTTGTAGGCTCGCTACGCTTGGTGGGCGTGCTGCATGAAGATTCAGGGCAAGAAGGTCGGTGACGATTTACAATCAAATGCAACAATATCCGTAAGTGCATGATAATTATGATTACAAGATTTTTATCTTTAGAGCATAAGGTAATATATTAAATTGCTAGCAGCCAAAAAAAAAAAAAAAGACTAACCAAGTGTGAAATCTCTAAGGTAAGAGATTGAAATTGTTAAAACCCCAAAGCTTCCAGTGGAATAGCCCCTGAACCCCCACAGTTAGTAAGGGAACACCCCAAAACCTTTCTCTCTTGACCATAATTTCTGCCCTTTCAAACCTTATGCCCTTGATAGGCACTTCACACCACACCACCCCCCCCAAAAAAAAAAAAAAAACAAAAAAAACATTCTGGGTCTACAGATCAGGATATGAAAATGAGGGTGTAGTTGGTTTTGTGGACACCATAATCAGTAGTGATTCTAGATTTTAGTATTATTTAACTTTCTATGTAGAATACAGTAGGCCTATGTGGTGATTATATCAAGGCTATGTGGTGATTATATCATTATTGTAATTTCATTAATATTATCCATTTGATGATGGTTGGAATAATACCAGTAATGATTTTTTCATAAACCAATTTTTTTAAATACATGAGTTTACCAGAAGTTAAAATTGTTATTAATAATTTGTTGTTATTATGAATATTTTACAGACAGTAATGATTGCACTACATGTACACCTTATAATTTATGTCTTCAGGTCATTGAATACTTAGTATGATAGCCTCAAGTGTTCACTCATCTGAAAAAGTTCACTATGTGAACAAACGCTTGAGATGAAAGTTTAAAATTTTATAAAATACTTGTCTTATTTAGACTAACACTTTCAACAAATGTCCAAAAGAAATTAAGTAAAAGAAACAAATAAGATGAAGAAGAGAAAAAAGAAAAAGAACAACAAAAAACATCAACAAAAAAACTAAGCTCCCCCTTGGATATTGTACATACATGTGCATTTGCGGGACTACACGTGTTGTAGGACATGCATTTTCCTGATTCTGTTCTGATAGGCCAGGTGTTTGAATCTCTGGAAAGGTCCATTATTGCGCTACCTGGTAGCTCTGAAAATGTTTTTGACATTTCACCATCATGTGAGTCATTGTGGTTTTTTTTCAGCGGTCAAATCTTGCGTACAAATCCTCGGAGGGCAACCAAACAAGATTCAATGTTGGAATATCTACAAATTCCACAAGTAGTCGCTCAGCGAGCAAGACCAGTAGTGGCAATATCTACCGTCCCGAGGGCTACCTACGCACCACAGCAAGCACTTCGACTGCCACCCCATCTTATGACTACTATCCAGGTATTGGTTATTTTTAATGGGTTGTTTTTAAAAACTAATTCTGCATACTTTTTTATTCGAATTAATTTGCATGCTTGTAAGTGGAATATTACAAAAAAATATGTGTATGTGGTATACTAGTGGTATATATTTAAAGCTTTTTTTATGTTATAGTTGTTTAAAGCTGAAAAAAAATATATATATACATATTTATGGCTAAATATTTGCTTTTTGGAATTAGCGCATTATAAATTTGTATTATTGAAGCTTTATATTTTGTCTTGTTATTGTGAAGCATGGTGTAATGTCGCCCTCTCTCTCTTCTCCAATATTTTAGCTTATTATCAACCGCGACAGACAAATCTTGACGGTAAGTATTTCCTCACCTTTTCTCCCAACTTAATCCCTCCCCCCCCATAAACACTGCCCTCATTGGGCCATCACCATTATTAATCAATCCCTCAGTGCCATATTATTAATATTCATCGCTTTCGTATGATCTGCTGTTTTTGTCATAACATAGTTTGTAAATTAATTTTTGTCATGTAGGTCTGTGTTTCTAATTTAAACTTCTTGTACAGCCAGGTTAGTTTGATGGTCATGTGACATTATAGTAACCCCTTGGACTTTTGACCACTTTTGTTCGTACCCTTGAGCAAGACAATTTATCTGCATTGCTTTTCTCAACCCAGTGGTTAAATTGGTACCTGGTAGGCTAATGAAGTACCATGTGTGAATTTAATTTCAGCAGTATTGAAATTGAATTTTAAGAAATGCTCCCCAAGAGAGTGGGGAATATTGCATATTCAGCCTGATGAACTTTTGGGGAAAAAAGGGCACTATGTTAATTCCTACATTAATATTTGATGTTAAAAGTAGAGGCCTGCAAGTTTACACATGTAGTTACACTTAAAAGGGAATAAAATATCAAGAATTTTGAATTTAAATAATTAATTCCAGAGGGCACTGTTGCTATTTGCAAATTGGAGTAATGGTGAGAAGGATAATTTGTGAATCGCTAATTATAATGCTTTGAAAGGTTATGCTAAGCAAAAATGATTTGGTGAAGGAATCTTATTAAATATGAATTAATGTAGTCTTGAAAAAATAAATTGATTATAACATTTTCCAAGTATTATAAACACTTAAAATGTTTTATTAAATAATATTATATTCCAACAATTACCTAATATTTAAATTGTATATTATATTTTTACTGAAAATTATTAGACTGATATACTGTTATTTCTATTATTTATTTGCTTTATATTCTTCTATAAATATTCTATGTTCATCAACATTTCTGTTGTATATCAAATGAATAAAAAAATAAATAATAAGTCTATATTTATTAAGTTATTGTAGTTTTTATAATTGTAAAACATGTAATAATAATAATAAATAGGTTTTTAATATGTAGGTTTGTAATCTTATTATATTGACCATGACATTAGAATCAGTGAAAGTAACATTTGATTTTTATTCTGACTAATATCACACGATTACATAGACATTCTGACCTTTGAACTACCTGCATGCCATTTTAACCCATCATGCTTTGATTCATGCCCCACAGATCCTTCTGCCATGCAGGTCAGACCACCTCTGCCAAACCTAATGGGTAAGTTGAATCCGCTAGAACCATCCATAGTATTGATCATTTTCATAAGTGTATCAGGGGTGGCACCAGGATTGCCCAATGTGTGGAGTGATTTTCCTCACAAGAGCGTAAGTTGGGATGGTTGGGCATCCATCAAAATCTCTCGGGAGTGGTGCAGGTGTCTCCTTTAAACAATGACAGCATAGGGGTTTCTAACGCTTATTTAAGCGATTTTAAAGACTATATGTTAAAAGATACATTTATTAATTTTTTGTCACCAACTGATTGTGTTTTTCTTCTCAATGGAAGGGGGTGGGGGTGCTATCCCCGATGAGGGCCCTGGCTGGTGCTACCCCTGACATGTATTCTTTTCACAGGAAAGAGTATGTTTTGTAAAAATGATGAAAATAATGGATGACTCCCTATCAATGCTTCCTAACAAATGATTTTCCCCATTGCTTCATTTTTCATTACCTAGGCTAGCCTTATATTTTTTTCATTATATTCTCATTATCAAAACCCATTTCTCTCCTATCGGGTATTATTACCTGGAGTTTTTATGTCATAACAGGCTATTTATCATGCATATATTTTCATTTCATTGAATTCATTAGTATAAAATGATGATAGTAATTGCTGTGATGATGTTTAATTGTGATTAATGATTTTGTTGTCATTGATGATGGGGATGATTGTAATGATAATGAAGGTGGTAATACTCATTACAATGGGTGTAATAATCTTGATAATGAAGAATCATAAATAAAAAAAATAGGATGGTCATTAATATCAATATGTTTTTTTTATTTTTAATTTTTTAAAAATGATGAAGAGCATTTGAATAATAATTATGATATTTGTTCATGCAGAACAAGATTCCGATTCTGACAGTGATGCTTCAGTAAGACAAGCCCACGACAGTATGTCACTAGCTTCCTCGCACTCTTCAGACGAAGACGATGAAGTCCCGGATCCAAAATGGAACATGCAACCCAAGACTGTTAACACAGATGGTAAGTTAAGCAGACAAAACAATGCAAATAACTTGCAAACTTTATTTTAACTTTTTTTTTAAATCAAATTTTTACAAGCATTGTCCAAAAACAAATGTTGCTGAGTGGGCAAGTTTAACAATTATATACGTTTGTAATAAAATTAAATTTAAAAAATTGCAATTTTTTCGCATGAATGAAACAAAGTATTTGGGTATTATTTTATTCAAATTGTTTTATCTGGTTTTGCTTATAATGATTGTAGAATTTTTTAACATAGACAAAAGTTTGCAGCAATTTTACATCAAATTGTGTTTGGTTTTATATCGAATAAACAGTTCTAAAATATTTGGGTATTGAAAGAAATAAACCAAATATTGTTCCTTGTGAAGGTCTGTACTATTGGAATACTTTCTAAACCTTAGCGTATTGTTACCTTTTAATGTAACCTTTTATTTTATATTTATTGTTTATCTGAACATCACTACGACTATGGTCTTCATGATTGTTTCTAAGTTAGTCCACCATGTTGATTGTGTGTTTGTTTTGTTTCCTCCACAGTAGTGGAAAGTCAGCCTCCTGTTCCAGGCCCTTACCATAGCACCCCTAAAGGTACATAGTTTATGTTGTGCTTCTATCGATACTCTCACAGTAATTCTCTTTCAATTATCATCATTGTTACCAAGTCTTTTTTAGTTTCTGCTGTGACGACATCATCTTCATTAATTCTCATGTTAAATTTTGTAAATAGATTCATTATATGTTTGTTAAATGTCATTCATATTGGTGTAACCGTTGATTGTTATGTTCTTGTTGATGTTTTCTTCCCGTCAGTTCCATCATCAGATAGCGAAAACCAAAAGATTTGGTTCATACCCGGTAGGCATACAATATTTAGCAGAATATTTGATCACCTCTAATTCTGCCTAAATTAACACCGCTTACATAATATTAGAGGTACGCATGTGTAGGCCTGCACATGGTGGATGTTACCCATTCCATGAGGCAGATTGAAGTGTTTCTGTCATCTGGAGTTCTTAATTTGGAGTATATTCTTTATTTCATTCATTATTCAAATAAATAATATTTTTTTTATTTCATTTTGGAAACATAAAGGAGAGTATGAATATATAATATATTAATCATGAATATTCATAAAGGAGAGTATTAATATATAATATATTAATTATGGATATTTTCGAGTTATATTGATTTCCATGGTTATGGTTTATTAGTGTACAGCATGCTTACAAATTGTGAGGAAAATTTACATAATTCCATAATTGCACAGAACTTACCTCAATGTAGGTCTATTGACAAGTTTCTACATAGGCACTGTTGGATGAGAATTAATTAATTGTAGCATTGTTACATTCGTGAGGTGACCTATAATTTCACCGTGAGATTTTTTTCTGTAGTTCACTAACAAATAAACCAAAGTTAATATTCCCTGTATTCTCAGGTGGATTTAGAGGGGGACCGGGCCAGCCCTGGGCGCCCCCCCCCTTTTGGAAAGTTAAAAAAAAAATAAATAAATAAAAGAAATAAAACTAAAAACATTTCGCAGGGCATGTCCCCGGACCCCCTAGGATGGTGTTACTTCGATCAGCCCCACCTTTCACACATCTTGGATCCGCCCTTGATTCTTCTGATTGTTGCTCCTGTCTCTTATACACATCTAGATGTGTATAAGAGACAGGTATGACGCGACGCGCAGAGGGCGCATTGCGACAGACAACTGCTTACTACTCACTACCTGTACTTTATTTTATAATAGGAAGAATTCAACCATCCCTTGTTCCCTATTTTTGGAAATCTATGATCCACTAGCATGCTTAGATCATTACAATAATAACATATAATTATTGTAGCCTATGTAGTTACAGTTGTATAATATAGGCCTACTACTACTACTAATAATAATAATAATAATAATAAATGATGAAAGTAATTACAATACAAGTAGTAATACAGTAATAATAATAATTATAAAATAACAAGTTGACATATTATGTAGTGCAATATGAAATATTTGAAATGTTTGAAATCAAACAGAAGAAATAGAACAAATAGTACTACAGTACACAGGAGTATTACACAGTAAAAATATTACAGTAGCAATTGTAATAATTATAGTAATAGTACTATATACCTGGTAGTAATCCTATAGATGTTTTGTAATCATTTAGAAAGGTCAGTAATGAGGATGATGATGACGATGATGATGATACTGATAATGATTATTATACTTGCATTACATTTAATACTACTATCTTTCCATATGTGAATTCTAAATATAAACACACAGAATATATCAGTGAATCTTAACTCATTTAAAGTTGGAGTTTGCAACACTGGTTGGTTGATTGAAATGGTTTTGTTTTACTTTCAAAGGCTATAGTCCAGTTCCTGTCTACTATTATACTACTGGTGAGATGACGTGCTTACAAAATCACTCTAGAGTACACGTAGCATGCACATAGCTAAAAGCTAATCATTTGCTAATCATTTCTGTATTTTCACTCTAAAATTCCTTTTCTCAATTCTCCATACTCACTAACAACAAGGTGCCGGGGCATATTGCCGACAACTAACAATAACATGGTGGCAGCTGGGACTGGGCCAATAATTCTCATACATTATTCATTTTAACTGTACTCTCAACACTCTTAATATGTTAATTGATTTAATTGGTAGTTGGTTTATTAATTATTGTTTTTTTAATGACTTTACTTGATGTTTAAAACAAAAATAGTAAAAAAAATAAATATGATATGTTTATGTTCAATTATTTTTTAGTGGTTTAAATATATGTATTTGAAAATCTGTATATTGTAAGTGATAGTTGAATTGTGTTGGGTTTCTTTGTAATAATCTTGATTGAATGATGAGGATCTGGTTGCTTCAAGATTCGCTGGGTTACTTTTTCCAAGTTGTTACTCTTTTATACAATAGAAAAGTAATTATTTAATTTATATACAATACTTAATATTGTATTTAGATTTAATCCTTTATTTAATGAATCAGAAAATTTAAATATTAAACAATAGTGTAACACAATTTTGTGGAAGTATTGGGTTTCTTCAAAATAAACTAGAATGAATGATAGCTTCTACTGTACTGTACTTGCTTCAACATTTGCTGGGTTAATTTGTGGTTATTCTATTGTGTAATAAAAATTAAGTAATTTTTATTATTTTAATATTCAATACTTAATATTGTTTTTAATGTAATCCCTTATATTAAAATATATTGAAACTTGTTTTTAGGTTAACAAATACTTAAATTAATACTATTAAAGTTACTTATTATTATTAATATTATTATATAAATATTATTTCTTTTTATTTTTATCATTTTTATTGTAGAATTATTCCATTTAATATTTTATCAAGCAGCTATGCTTTCATTGGTGTAAAAATTAAAAGAAAAGGCAATTGAAAAATCCCTCAAGTCAAATATTTTCCATTTCCATTAGATGTTTTAGATTTGTGTTGTGTTTTCAATTATTCATGATTTCATTACTCCAGTTAGTATGAATATGATTTTTTAGTTTGTGAGTTGTCATCGTAGCTGTCAATGAAAATGTCATTTAAAATTTAGATTTGCACTTCTCGTTATTTGGTTTTGTGTGATTGTCATTTTGGTCACAGATTCCATAGTCTTTTATGCTGTGAAAATTCATCCAGTTGTCATGGCTACAAGATTAATATAATTATTGTGGAAAAAATGCAAATTTTTTGCTTTCTGATCAGTTATTCTTGTTTTAATTTGAAATTTAAATATTGTCATTTCTCTGCTTTTTTTTAAATCACAAATTTGTATTAAATATCATAAAAGCAAAAGTATCATTGATCAGAAACATACATACAGTAACTGTAGTTTATTTTAAAACTTGAAATTAATTTTTATATACCCATTAGTTCCAGGAATGACCCTTGAACCTGAGGCTGATAATTATAACCAAGATGCAGAACCAGAAGGTTACCAGCGGAACGCCTGGCCAAGCGAAGGCTATTCAGCTACTGCAAGTGATACAGAATCGAGGGCAGGCTCTCATAAAGGAGAACTGCAAGTCCTTGATGTGAAACTGACTCCCGAGAAGGAGAACAGCCAGACTGAGAGTCCAACAGGCAGTATTGACTGTGAGTCTTATCAGCAGTTGGTTTAATAATCTAGAAAATTTTAACTAAAGGGCTGTAAACTCGCACCGCACTGTATTGAGAAACAAGCCTCCATGGCCAGAATAGTGCGTAGAACGTGAATTTTGTGTGAATTAGGTTTTTGTGTAATAAATAAAGAATAACTTTTAATCTTACTATTCCTGAAGTTTGAGTTTAAAATTCCAACTGTAAGAGGTAAAATTTAGTCATTTTCGGATGGAAGCTAGTGAAAATGAATAGAAACCTGCCGAAAATACAAGCATTTTTCTTAAAACTTGATTTAAGAAAGTTGATAAGATGACAATTATTCAAACGGTTATAACTTTGCTTCCAGACACCCGATTGAGTTCATTTAACTGTTATTTTAAAGTAAATGATATGTTCTATGCCTTTATAACAAAAACTCATTTTGGCCTGAGGGCAAGTTTACAGCCCTTTTGTGAGCTTGGGTCACAATTTATATAATTTATTTTCTTAACTTATTACGTAAGGCACATACAAAAAGATATATTGCATTATTGTCCAATATACAATACCGTATGATACGATAAAACTTAGAATACATCGTTAACCGACCGTGCCATCCATGCGACATGTCCTATTAGTGGTAATGGCAGTAATGTACAGTTCTTGCTGAAAACCTTGTTTCATTTTGTAGGTGTATGGGGCACCCTGGGGTTCCACGTAAAAAAGGGGCCATGAATATTTGTTGGAAATCACCTCTAGTTTATGTGTACAAAATTTCCTACACGTCCGTTCAAAACTGTCGACACTGGACATTTTTAAAGTTCTGGTAACAACAAGAACAACAACAAGTGATGTTCAGAGGTCCGTCTGTGCGGCACGGACCTAATACTAATTTTCTTTCACACGGTACTGATGGGAATGATAACATATCAACATTTTTATGAGCCTTACATTGTCTAATATGTTTTTCAGTTTTGAGTCAGCTAGAATGAATGAATTGGTTTAGATAATGTTCAAACTTATTACTACCTTTATTAAATACTTTACCTGAGTTTATTTTGAAGAATACCACAGGAATCACACTACCTCAAATCATTTTTTCGACTGGATTCTTATTTTCAGGGAAATTTTCAAATATGAAAGAACATATCTAGAATTCTATGATTTATCTTTTTATTACATTTTATCTAATTGTTTTATGTTTTTTTTTTTTTTGGTAATTAGGTCATCAGAATTTAAACGAGCGGCCAGACATCTTACCTATTCGTGGAATCATGAAGAATTCTGATTCATCACGTACGCCAAGCATCACAAGTCTAACGCGAACTGCAATACCACTTGGTATGGGTGGTCCAGATAAGCTAGGCCTCAAGATGAGGGACCGCACTGGACATATGTCTGAGTCTGAGTAAGTGTATTATATGTTGGTAATAATGGTGAAGGAACCAGGGTGATTTTGGTGGTTGTGGTTATTAGAGTGATGGTGAGATGTTGATAACAGAGATGATAGTAATGAGGCCAAAACGAAAAGGTTATAAGGGCATGGTTGGTTTGGAATTTTTTTTTTTCCATTGGCCTAGACATAATTCTAGTGTTCATTGTCAATTGTCACCCATGCATTTTGGTTAGTAATTTTTTAACCTCGGCTATTATCAGTTGTGGTATAAAATATATTAATTAAAGCCTAAAAAGTGACCATTTCAAGAACTTTTTTTTAATATTCTCTTTACATCTAAAATCGAATCTGACCATAGAATTTTGTGTCAGTCGGGCTTGGGCAATAAGGGTTTTTTTTTACCTGAAGTTGATAGTGGTGATAGTGTTGATTATGGGAATAGCGATGGCTTTATTGATGTTAATTCTGATGCATGTCCAATGATAATGGAAATGGTAGTTAGTTATGATTGGAATAATTATTATATGAATGATAATTCATGTTGATATATTGGTACTGGTCTTGAAAATAGCAGTTCTGTTAATAGTAATTGCAATTGAGGCAAAGACAAGCCAAACCAGTCACTCATCACAAATAAAAAATTATTTATTAGTACAGGGTTAAGCAGTAAAACGAGAGCTATAAAATGGTTTTAAAAAATCATTTAAATCCGACATTTAGTTATGAAGTTACAGGAGTTTAAAAATACAGCTGTTTAAAGAACAGTATTTGATGAAATCTGCCTTCAAAGTTTATGATATTGGACATTGCTCAGGCAGAAACCATCACCAAATCATTAACAATTGTTATGAAGTTACAGGAATTTAAACATACAGCTGTTTAAAGAACAATATTTGAGGAATCTGCCTTCAAAGTTTATGATATTGGACATTGCTCAGGCAGAAGCCATCACCAAATCATTAACAATTGTTGTTTTAACATTGAAAATGGGGAAAAAATTATAGCGTAGCATGATATATCGATATATAAAGCTTAAGTTTAGTGTAATAAAATAGATTTTTAAAATTTAGACATTCCAGCATGCTCTGGCCATTATATCTGAAACAGGATTTGTGACTGGTTTGGCTTGTCTTGGCCACAATTAATTAATGTTGATGATCTATCTGAATGATATATATTTAGATTCTATAAATTTATATTTCTTTGTCATTCTCAGAGCAAGTAGTAACGAAACATCAGTATGACAATTACAGTCAGAAGAGCCGGAGTGTTTACAGCAAGAAAATCATGCAAGCGTGAATGAGGATAACTCTGAATATTACGTCATCGTGTAAGAGTTTCACCCGTTCATACTCTAACCCCAGCCCACCAAATTTGAATCTCAACAACCATTACAAGTCAATGGTGTCATATTTTTTAAACCTGTTTGTGCAACAAAGGTTTTGTGGTAGTTCAGTGTTTTGTAATTAAAAATATGTTTCATTAATATTAATAGTAATGTGGTAATCTTGATCTTGGATAATTGCAAACATTTTTTTGTGATTTTAAACTGAAATTAACTGGATGCTTGTCGCTGTATATGAGGCTTTTCTGATGATTTTGTATCATTTCTGGATTAATGCTGTTAGGAAATAAAGTAATTTACTAGGTTTGAAAGATATTAAAATAATTTCTGAATTATACTCTAAAATGTATTGATGATAAAGAAAACATAAATTTATTTTTTATTCTTTAGGTGGTATAGCAAAAATTAAGCTTAATTATTTTGTGTAAATAAATCTAATATTTCATTTTTAATTGTGTTTATTGATTTGATATATTATGTTAAATATGTGGTGCTTTGAGGGCAAGATAACTCGGAATTAAGATGTAGTGTTGATTACAACACTGTTAAACATTTCTGTTCAAGAAAAGTTTTTTACACCACAATTCTTAAAGAAAACCTTGGTAGATTTTATATAAATTTCTTTATCTGCTGTAAGATCACCTTGTGTCCTATGTCAAAATTGAGAAGTTTTTTGTATGGATTTAAGAAGGTAAATTACTTTATACTAAAATTTAGCAGTTTTGGCATATTTGCCAAACCATTGTGTAGAAATAATTTGTATATATAGTATAAGATTATAGAGTATCGATAGTATTTGGATGGAAGTACAGTATTCACTTTTGCTTATTAAAAGAATGTATATGTGTGTCTGTTATCGTTCAGATGTAAATTGGATTAGGTAAAGAAAGCTGAATCTCTTAGCAAAAGAGTGAACGTAGTTTAGCTCTGACAGTTGATTAAGTCTAATAAGCTTCAGTCGTGACTTGGTGTATTCTCAGTATTGTACCATGTTTGAATAATTGCTGGTTTTAATAAGTCCCTGACAAATGGGTCTTCGAGTCTAGCATTTGAAAGTTTAAAAAAAACTGTTCTAGATATGTGCTGTAGATGTTAAGCATTAATAACGTTGTCTCATTTTTCCATAATAGTTTGATGAATTCATTCCTCCATGTGATTTTCTTTTGTGGTTTGTTGGATTATTAATATCTCCTTTCAGAGTAAGTGATATTCAATAATATCTGGTGTTTATCATCATCTTTACCTTGACTTTTATGTAGCTTTAAGCAGTACCGAATCGTCCTACTCCGGATTTTCAGACAATTTACATTATTGTTGTCTGATAGCCTTTTTGTAACCAGTTTGCCAAAGATGTTTTCTTTTTTTATTATTTTTATTTCTAATAGAGGGTTTATGACCCTGAGGCTCAAGGGTCAATTTGTAAATATCTATATGTTTGTGGAAATGTAAATTGTAAGCATTCTTATGAATTTATTTGTTGATTAATTAAAATTGTGGTCTGTTTTGGTATGGTATTTTTATAATTCTTTCAACTTGTCAGAAGTAATAGCATTTTGAAGACTGTTCCAAATTTTTAATATTCATAGAATAATAATGTAGTTTTTAATTTGTGTTTGCTGTACTGTCCATGAATTATTTTAAGGGAATTTGATATGGGATTTTAATCCTAATATCTTAGCATTTTGTCTTTCAGGTGAACAAATTTCAATACTTAAATGAATGTTGAAAAATCGTTTTAATTTTTGAAACATGTGAAATGAATTTTGTAGGCAGAAACTAGTTTCAGCATCACAGTGAAGTGTATAACTATGTAATCTTTAATTCAAATGGTAAAAAATAAAGGTAAACTAATTTTGTCTTGTATACCCCTTGCCCTTTGACCTCATCCCGTCATGACCTTGTTCCCTCGTATGCCCTCATCCCCTCTGTCAATAGCAGTACAGTACTTTTTAATTTTCTTCCACACTGTAGTTTAATTTGTAAAGTTTCAACCGTGTATGTAATGATTGGCTTGTGTATTATAAATGGTTTGCAAGATTTTGTTTTTAATAAATATTTTGCTTGTTTACTAAATGGTTTCAGTTATAATTATTGCTGTTGTTGGTGGTGGTGGTGGTGGTGTTGCTGCTGCTGTTTTTATTACAATATATTAAATTTTAAAATACTGTGAAACCTTGAATAGAAACCCAATGGGCTTTATTTTTTTTAATTTTTTTTTTGTAAATTGTGTATGTTCACCACAAATACAAATTTAGCCCATTCCATGTTTTTTTTTTATTCCCTACTATGCAATGTTTATATATTTGTCTTCTCTTCTTGTTTGTCTTTCCTTTCATCTTCTGTCTTCTTTTTTTTGTAATCTGTTTGGGCTGTGTCCCCTCCCTTGTCGTTTATTTTAAGAACCTGATCCTAGGGAGTTTTCTTTATGGTTTCCTTTTATCCATTTTTGTAATCTGTTTTTCTTTAATAAAAGTGAAATATAATAATATAATCATTATCAGGTGATACACAGCGGCGGTTTTCTTTATGGTTTCCTTTTATCCATTTTTGTAATCTGTTTTTCTTTAATAAAAGTGATTTTAAATATAATAATACAATCATTATCAGGTGATACAGAGCGGCGGTTTGGCGCAGCGGTTCAGGTTTAGGCTTTCAATCGTAAGGTCGGGGTTTCGAGTCTCTGCTGTGCAGATTTGCTTGTGTCCTTGGGCAAGGCACTTTAGCTACATTGCTTAAGTCCACCCAGCTGTATCAATGGGTACCAGCAAACTGCTGGGACTAACCTGCGACGGACTAGTGTCCCGTCCAGGGGGAGTACAACTCTCATCCGCTTCACACTACAGAAATTGGAGATAAGCTCCAGCCCTATGAGCCCCAGTGGCTCGGAAAAGATTTAGTTTTTTTAGATCAGGTGATACAATCATCTTGAATCCACATCTAGCAATGAAATAGAATTTTGAATTTGAATTATATACGTAAATCACTTATACTGCAATAGGCTGTTCTTAGTCTTATGAAAAGCACCCTCTATACAGGTTAACTTGCCTCAGTCGACTTTGCCTAACACAAATAATTTGTTGTTTTCAATTAATTAACAATATGTATGTCAAATTTTATCTAAAGTCAAACAATTTTTCAATGGTATTTTGGATTTGACTTAGGCAAGTTCAAATGTATATAGTTAGGGCACAGATTCTATATAATAATTTGTATATAGGATATTTGGTTATGGCAATCATTTATTAATGTCACTTTAACTCAATAATGGTATATTTGTCATGTTTGATGACTTTGAACCACTTCATGACTTAGATATTGATAATAATAATTTTAATAATAATAATAACTATCACAATTATATTGATATTTGGACCCGCATCTTCTTCCTGTTTGTTTTTACATTTTTATTTGTCTTTTTTATGACTTTTTTTATATTTCTGCCATTTGTTTTAAATGTTTTTACTTGTAATTTTACATGCAATTTGGCCTCTGGGCCACGATTTGTGGAATTTTAATAAATTGAAATTGTATTGTATTGCGTGAATTCCAACATTTGATGGCCTTGAAAATAAGAAAATTATTAAAATAATGTTTTTGCCAGAAACACTGGGTTTTTTTGGTAATAAATATTTTCCTGGTTATTTTTGGAGAAAATGTTCCATTAAAGCAAATAGAAATGCATGTATTCCAAGTAATTTGAGCCCAAATTTAACACAATCTGATAAATAATAACAGAGTTACGGATTTCTCCTGATTTTGTGAAAATTTTACCAAAACCGGATTTTTGAAGTTAATCAATTATTTTTTCATGCACAAACTATTAGAATTTTTTTTAAATATTTTTTGTGATTGATTATTGTCACTTTAGCTATCCTTTGCCACATTTGAATAAGTGGAAACAATCGATGGCTTGGAAAAATAGGAAATTATTTAAAAAAACATATTTTTTGGGGCAAAAAACGAGTTTTTTGGTAATTTTTTTCCTGGTACTTTCTGGGAAAAATGTTTTATTACAGCGAATAGAAACATGATCCTTCTAAACATTTTGGCACCAAACTGAACTCTCTATCACCAATAGTAACTGAAATACAGAGGGTTTGTATTTTTTCCCAAAAATGGATACTTTTGCATAAAAGCGGCCATTTTGGACCCGGGGACCCAATTTTACGATTGCTACATGGCCAAAATGGATGACCAAAGGTATCAGGAGCATGAAAAAACAGGCCTATATAAATCGCAGAGTATGTACACGTAAACCATAGGCTATCTAGCTGCTGGACTATTAATGATACGAAATCAAAGGCAGATTTTATTTTATGACAGAATTTGCAACTGGTTTCCCTGACGTATATAATATCCTTACCCTGGGTACACCATTTAGGTAGATGATGTTAGAAGCATTGCAAGTAAGAGGTGGTAAGTGTATATCTATGTTAGAATGGTGAATGTTAATAGTGTTGTCGGTGATGAGGACTTTGCAAATTTGGCATCGTGAATTCAGGGGTTTATTTAGGAGCCTGCGGCCGGCGAATTCGCTACTACGATGTTTTCGTAGGCTACTTCAATCAATAGGGTACAAAAATTAATACAAAAACCACCAATATAAATAGCGCAACAGGCCTGTAAAGAACCTTATTTACCTACACGAAGTTAATATGAAAATATTGGACAATAGTATGCACACATTTCGATGTTCTTTTCTGTTGAAAGTTCGTTAAAATTTCTACCAATTTTCAGACTCCATGTTTGACTTCCATGAACTCGCGGCGTAAACAAAGTTAAAGATGTATTGTCCCTTTCTAATGTAAAAAAATCATTAAAAAAATAATTTTGAAATAAACTTGCTCATATTGCAATACCCGGTAGCATAAAAATTATTGAATTTTAAAAATGTGTACCCTGATTGTTTAAACCAAAAAATTATAATAAAAATAATAAAACATTTCCAGTGACTGGAAGTGTTTATATCATTTTTCGCTGTAAACTGATGGGTAGACATTTTTTAAATACACTAATTTCTAAGTTCAAGTTGATAACTTTTAAGTTGCTTCAAAATGGGCAAGTTAATTTTTAAAAATATTATTTTAATTTTGTTGGCATTTAGCATGGGACAATACATCTTTAAAGTTTAAAGGTCGGCAGTCGCGCCTGATGCCAAGAGAACTGATGGCTAGTGGTTGAATATTTACCATTTTTATTAAAATAATTAAACAACTGACCAATCAAAACAGTCCAGGAATACGCGCGTGTATCACAAACAAGTTTTCTACGAAGGGGAGATGTAAAATAGTCATACAAACGTACGTTGTTTGTTTTTGCACTGTCGTTTTCTGGAGCGAATCCAGAGATGTCCAAAAAGTGAGGGTTGGCAGCCGAAAGTGGGAGCTGATCGAGACAACACTATCGTAGGGGGTCCTGGGACATTCCCCCTTGAAAGCGTCGTTTTCTAGACTTCCAAAAATAACCTCTGATGCGTTTTGGGCGATCTATTAGCCTCAAAACTTGAGTCGAATTTTCATTTTTCCGCCGTTTTTTATTTTGAAATATTTACAAAACCACTCCCCACCCCCTGGCTCGGTTCTTCTCACCTCCCATTATCCACCCCCATTGCTAAATCCTAGATCCGCCATTTTCCAGTTGTTTCGTATTCAATGACACCTACAGATCATAATCTGAGTCCTCTGCAGGTTGATAAATGCCACTTAAAGCCTAGTTTTTAGCTTAAATAACGATAAATCGGATGAGAATCAATTAGGCCCATGAGGCCGAATCTATGATAACACGACCAGGTTAAAAATTGGCCAATTTTGGTAAAAACCTTTTACACCGCCATTTTGCAATTATTTCGTATTCCATTCCATGACACCTACAGATCACAAGAATCCTCTGCATGTTGGTAATGCCACTTAAAGCCTAGCTTTAAACTTAAATAACGATGATGAATGATACTGAATTAGGACCATGTGGCCGAATCTGTGATAACGACCAGGTAAAAAATTGGCCAATTTTGGTAAAAACCATGAGGTTAGGCCTATAGCTCAGAATGTTTTTGGACGAGTTTTTTTTACCCCACCATAATCCAATTGTTTCGTATTCCATGACACCTACAGATCACAAGAGTCATCTTCAGGTTGATAAAAGCCACTTTAAGCCTCGTTTTTGAGCTTACAATTAGGCCCATGTCGCCGAATATGAGAAAATCGACCAGGTTAAAAATTGGCCAATTTCGGTAAAAACCATGAGCTATAGCTCATACTTTTTTTTGAACGATTTTTTTTACCCCGCCATTTTGCAATTATTTCGTATTCTATGACTCCTAACAGATCACAAGAGTGCTCTGCGGGTTGATAAATGCCACTTAAAGCCTATAGTTTTAAGCTTGAATACTGATAAATCGGATGATACTTAATTAGGCCCATTTGGCCGAATCTGGGAAATACGACCTGATTAAAATTGGCCAGTTTTGGTAAAAACCATGAGTTCATACTTTTTTTTTACCCGCCATTTTCTAGTTGATTTGTATTCCATGACAGAGTCCTCTGCAGGTTGATAAATGCCACTTAAAGCCTAGTTTTAAGCTTAAATAACGGTAAATCGGATGAGACTCAATCAGGCCCATGTAGCCAAATCTGGGGTAAAAACGACCAGGTTAAAATTTGGCCAATTTTGGAAAAAGCCATATTTTTTTGGGACGGTTTTTTTGATCCCGCCATTTTTCAGTCGTTTCGTATTCCATGACACCTACAGATCACAAGAGTCCTCTGCAGGTTGATAAATGCCACTTAAAACCTAGTTTTAATCGTAAAATAACGATGATGATAGCCTACTCAGTTAGGCTCATGTGGCACAATCTGGGATAAGACGACCAGCTTAAAAATTGGCCAATTTTGGTAAAAACCATATTTTTTGTTGGACGGTTTTTTTTACCCCGCCATTTTTCAGTTGTTTCGTATTCCATGACACCTACAGATCACAAGAATCCTCTGCAGGTTGATAAATGCCACTTAAAGCCTAGTTTAAGCTTAAATAACGATGAATCGGGTGATATCCAGAATTAGGCCCATGTGGCCGAATCTGGGAAAAACGATCAGGTTAAAAATTGGCCAATGTTTGGTAGAAACCATGAGCTATCCCCACCATTGTCCAGCTGTTCCGTATTCCATGACACCTATAGATCGCAAGAGTCCTCTGCAGGTTGATAAATGACACTTAAAGCAGTGGCGTATCAAGAGGGGTGAATTAGGTGGATTTCCACCCCCCACCCTCCCCCTCCGTTTAGGCCTACTGTGAAAAAAAAATAATGGTCACCGATCGTCTTGTGTGTCTGCTTCTCATGTCTCTGGTACACTTTCTCTTCTAAGCTTACTTCTTTTGAGATGCCAGAGGATCTAAGATCGTCTAGCAGTCTCCTAATTCCAAAAAAAAAAAAAAAAAAAAAAAATTCACATGGGAGGGGACGGTCCTTTATCTCCCATTATCCACCCCCATTGCTAAATCCTAGATCCTGATGCGGAAGTTTGGAAGTTCTGTAGTATATGAAAAAAGTTGATCGTAGGCTACTTATTTAGCCTGCCTATTGAGATCCTCAATGTACCATAATAACTGTATAGAGGACTAACAGGGACCGTGACTTCCTTAATGACCACACTTTTATGATAATCCCGGGCCAGTTTATCATAATTTGTATAATTTTGCGTATAGGGGAACCGAGGCCATTATTTCATGTTATAATTGCCTACAGATGACTATGTCCTCCCATTTATATACAATCCCCTGGGTACTAGCCTATATTGACAATAGGGGACTGAACTGACGGCATTATTTCCTTTCACTTGAATACAGCTGATTAATGTCCTCACGTTTATATAATCCCCAGTGTACTATATTTATTGTACAGAGGACAACATGACTACAGCTGATTATATAATGTCCTCACATTTATATGTAATTCTAATATTGACTAGAGTATAGGTCTGCTGAACGGATGCCGTGGTGTTCACTCATTTGACTACAGCTATTTATAGACGGATCCCAACGAATTAAAATTGCTCAAATATAGCCTATGTTTTCGTGGGCATCATTTGTTACAAGCTGGCAACAACGTGAATCCTCATCACCAGCTCTAAGCTCACAAGGAATGGGCTGTTGGCACGCAAAATTTTCAATTTAAGTGGCAATTTGATCAAAAAATTACAAATTGTACGTAGGCCTATTTTACCCAAAAATATTATTTTAAAGCTACATCGTCACTGGAAGATTCAATTTAAATATTTTTGCTATTAAAATTATTTATCGAATGATGTGAATGATAACACGTTATGTTAATTTTTTGACGCAAAAAAAACAACGAAAAAACATATATTTATGACTTGGCTAAATTTAGTACTAGGCCTATAAGTGTTTTATTATATAAATACGAAAAGAAAGCTAACAAACTTTTGTCTGTCTGATACGTTCTCAAATACTGAACGCATAAAAAAAAATTCAGACATCATCCATTTTGTATTTCGGAGTTTAGTATGTCGTTATCTCCCGCCAAATGGAAAATGATACACTTTTTTACTAGTATGTAACTACAAAATGCAATTTGAATATATTGGGTATCATACGAAAGCTATTTAATTTATATATTAAATGATGTGTTTGATGACATATCATGTTAATGTTGTGACCCGCAAAGTACCAAGACAAATTTTTGATGACTTTTTGGCTAAATTTAATGATCTGTATTTATGAGAAAGACTATGCCTTGGCTAACACGGAATGACTGTTGCCACGTTGAATCTTAGATTTTAATGCCAAATTTGACCAAAAACTAGTCAAATGTTACACATTTTTACCAAAAAATCGAATTTTAAAGCTACTTTAATTTTTAAAATCAATGGCGGCGCTACGGGGTTGGGGGATTTTTCTTTCCTCCTCCTCCAGTTTCCCCGGCCCCTCTCCAAAACAGAAGAAAAACCAAAATTCATCGGGGAGTATTTTCTACATATTAGTAGAGTATCTATATATAAAATCGATTAAATAAGCCATTGAAACCCATGAACCACTTTTGAAACATTTTAATCGATACAGGACCACGCCGACTTTGCTCTCGTCGGGGACCTCCCCCACTCTCCCCACAAAATCATACGGTACCTGTCCCTCAATTTCCCACCCCACCACCCACCCTCCCCCTTTCCAGATTTCAGACGCCTGGCACCGCCACTGAAAAGATTCTATTTGAATTATACTTTTGTATTTTGGGGTAATAGTATGTCTCGCTAAAAATGGCAAATTATACACTATTTTAACCTAAGATGGTATCTGGAAACTAGAACGTTACTAAAAAATTCAATTTATTTATAATATATATCTTAGAAATCTATTAACATTATCGATCATTCGATAAGTATCATGACACGCTATGTTAATGTTGTGACCAAAAAAAAACAAAAAAACTTAGGCCTATTTTATAAATAAAACTATTGGTTTATTTGTTTGACCTTAGTAATAATAATAATTAAAAAAAATCGATATTAGTTTCAGTTCAAAAAAAGTTATCAATAGCGATATGGCAATCAGATAATACGATTTTGATTAAAAAAAAAAAAAAAAAAAAAAAAAAAAAAAAAAAAAAAAAAAAAACCAATTGACCACTCGGGCCTATCTGCGGTCTAAATCCGTCTATCTATCTTACATCCGGAATTTCCAATTGGTGAAGGACCGATGCTTCTGGGATATGGCACCGGAATAATGATAGGGCTAACGAAAATAATATTAAACTGCATACCTATGAATGATGGTTTGGATTACTAAGAAATGGTCCGGTACCATATTACATAGTCGTTAATTATTAATACCTCCTCTCCCCACCCGTTTTTCTGATATAATTAGTGGATCGGTATATTAATCCCATCCCCCGAGGATACCCCTATTTCAGGAAATTTGGTACCGAAGGGGTTTCCTCATAAGAACTCAATTTATAGTATTAAAAATATCAAAGTATATTAATTAAACAGTGTTTTAATTTAGGAGACTTTTACTTATTTTTTAAATTACAGTAATACATCTTTTACCTACCGGTATTTTACCATTTTTTATTTTATTGAAGTTTTTAATACAATTTTGTTTCGTATATAGGCCTACATTTATATACTTGCATGCGCAAGTGGAAACTTTCCACTGTTTCCAATCTGTATTTATACGTTTTGATTCATAAGATGATACAGTATTATCTTATATAGAAATCGTGATATTCCAATTCAACCTCAGTCCTCAGTGTTCCTGTGGTCATTTACACCTAATATCCTGAATAATTACCACCTGTGTAGCAGAGCGTGAATATTGAAATTCCAGAGAACCGCGTGACATGAATTGACGTGACGACCGAAATGGTGGACAAGGTGTATTTTAGCAATAAAAAATCCCACCATAATTTGTTTATGATTATAGGTCTAAAGTATATTCGTACGTATCAACAAAACTACTAAGGTAGGCTTAAGTATTAAAAGAAAACATGCAACTAGCAATATTTAGTGATTCTAAGTTCCGATAGCCAATAATACGAGTCAGTTTCCACGTGCATAGAATGGTGTACACTCGGTCGGACGCTGAGTTTTTTTTTCGACAAGATTTTTAATGTGTTTTTAAGGTATGTATTTTCATATAGTTGTACGCTTAAAATTGACAAAAACATGACTTGTTCATGTTCACAGGAATGGTACTTGCTTCAGCATTCTAGCGGCCATTTCATTAAATATTTGGACGTACCACCTGTGTGGACCAAAAACGCCAAAAGAACCACGTGAACTCGGAATGGCAGATATGGTCGATATGATGTATTCTTGCAGAAATCACCTCCATAATTTGCTGTATTATAGCGTATTTCCGTGATGTATATATCCATAATCAAATATTTGAACTTGAATGTATATTTCGAACGCCAAACAATATGAATTACTTGCTTTGTGGTGAGTGCAAGGTAGGTTCTAAATGAACTAGGACTAGGCAATTTCGACAAGAATAGTTGTGATTATAGAGCACTGCTTTTAATCTTTCTTTCGTAGGCCACATTAGATAGAATATTTATTATCTACTCATCTGAGGGCCATACCAGTGGTGTATCTAGCAGGGGCGGATCCAGTAAGGGCCTGTTTTGCCACTAAATTTTATAATTGGAAGGGCGTGGCCCACGAAGGTGAAGTGGGTGCTTGATGATTAGGTAACCAGGCGCTAGCTTGCAATATTAGGTGATTTCAGGTAGATTTTTAAGTACGTAAGTGTGATTTTTTTGCTTCGAACATTTTTCAATAAGGGCAAGGGAGGTGGGGGGGGGCCGAATATATTTTTTGTGGGGAACATATCCCCCATTATAGATATGCCAGCACTGGACCAGACTAAACCTCCAAGAATTTGAATGACCAATATTTTTACACTGAGTATTCAAAATAAATAAATTAAAATAATAAAGTCATATCAATTTTATCTATAAACCATAGGCCTACATTAACATGGGTAGTGAAGTACTTAAAACGATACAACTTCATCAAACAAGTTGCAATCAAAGCATCATTAAAGACATAAACATATTATGAAATAATTATGTGATTGCTTGTATCTGAATTTAATGAATCTGAATTTAATCAGTCTTCATATGCAAATAAAATAGTCTACGCCAATGTAAGTTTAAAAAAAAATATTTTATTCAGTCCTGTTCTTTTTTTTTTTTTTTAATCTGTTCAGTTCAGTTACCTATCCTCAGTCCTTAATTTTGTGTCATGTCTTTCTGCTTCTCATATTGCCTCCAAGGCCGGCGGAACGTTTTTCAAAGTTTGGGGCCCCCACTTATAAGTTGAATGGGAATATGATCCGGAAGTCCTCACCCAGAAAAATTTTGATTACTAAATGGCGAGAAATGACATTTCTTGACTTTTGAGCTAGGTGTCCAATGACTTTGTTCTTAAAAATTCAAGGTTTCCCCCTCTTGAAAACGGTCAGGTAAACTTTCTCATTCTTTTACAGTAAATAGGCCTGTTATGTGTGTATACATACATAAAAAAAATGAGTAGTTGCATACGTATTCTTTTTTCAATCAATCGATTGAAAACGATCAGGTAAATTTTCCCCATTGTTATTACAGTAAATAGGCCTTATGTGTGTATACCGTACATACATAAAAATAAAAAAAATGAGTAGTTTAGTTTTGGTTTTGATTCCTGGAAGGTGGGAAATGAGCTTTCCCGACTTGAGCTGCCTTTTAATTACTTTTAAGTTCTTCAAAATTTAAGGTTTTCCTCTCTTGAAAATTATTATATTAAATTAATGAACCCAAAGAGAAAAGGAGGATTCGGGTTCTTCCCGGGAAAATGTTGATTCCTAAATGGGGGAAAATGAGCTTTCCTGACTTCAGAGTTGCCTTTTAATTACTTTTAAGTTTTTCAAAATTTAAGGTTTTCCCCTCTTGAAAATTATTATATTAAATCAATGAACCCAAAGATAAAAGGGAGGTTCGGGTTCTTCTCGGGAAAATTTTGATTCCTAAATGGCGGGAAATGAGCTTTCCTGACTTCTGAGCTGTCTTTTAATGACTTTTAAGTTCTTCAAAATTCAAGGTTTTCCCCTCTTGATAACGATTCCATGAATCAATGAACCCCCTCAATAAAGGGGATTCTAGTTCTCCCGGGAAAAAACGTTGATTTAAATTGGCGGGAAATGAGAAAATCTTTACTTCTGAAGTGCCTTTTAATGACTTTTTAAGTTCTCAAAAAGGTTTCCGCTCTTGAAAACGGTCAGTTAAATTTTACTCATTCGTATTACAGTAAATATGCCTTATGTGCGTATATATACATACAAAATTGAGTTTGACATGAATCGATAAATCCCAAAAAGAAAGGGAGTCCGGGAAAATTTTGATTCCTAAATGGCGGGAAATGAGCTTTCCCGACTTCTGAGGTGTCTTTTAAGTTCTTCACAATTCAAGGTTTCCCCCTCTTGAAAATGATTCAATGAATCAATGAACCCCAAAGAAAAAGGGGGTCCGAGTTCCCCCAGGAAAATTTCTATTTCTAGATGGCGGGAAATGAGCTTTCCTAACTTCAGAAATGTCAGGCAAATTTTTATCATTTTTTATTTTATGTGTATACATACATAAACAAATGAGTAGTTGCATGCGTATTTTTTTCCATGAATTGATAAATCCTAAAAAGAAAGGATGGTCCGGGATTCTCACCCGAGGAAAATTTTGATTCCTAGATGGCGGGAAATGAGCTTTCCCAACATTTGAAGTGTGTTTTAATGACTTTTATGTTCTTCAAAATTATAATTTTCTTATTGTAACAAAAAAAAAAAAAAATCAGCTCACGGGTCCTGAAAAAGGTGTCTAGAATTCTTTTTTTTTTCTTTTTGGGGAGGGGGCAGGACCCATGACCCCATCTCCCAGATCCGCCAATGTGAATTGCGAGAAAATGTAATTTGGTCGGGGACTGGATAAACATTCTCTTTCCCTTCCTTCCTTCCTTCCTTCCTTCCTTCCTTTCTTCCTCTTTCTTTTCTTGCATTTCTTTCCGATCATACAACAATCTCCAGACATTATATATATTTTTGTTTTTTCCAAAAAGTGGGGGGAAAGGGCACCCCGTCCCCGGTTCCGCCGGCCATGGCGTCTGACTCTATTTTTATTTTTAGGTGGATTTCTTTGATTAGAATATATTATATTATTAAAATAGACTATACTCTATAATAATGCATTATAATACACTTAATTCCAGGCTTATTATTTTGTTAATAAATGTTTCTACAAAAACGTGAACGGTGTAATTATGGCTGTGGATAATTGCTAAATAAAAGATAAATTTTCTCATAAAATTTTTTTTTTTTTCAATATTTATGGTTGAAATTTTGAGGTAGTACTAATACACTTCGATTAATTTCCCCATTTCCTGTTTTTTGGTTCCTTTGCTATAAAGTAGTAGGAACCTTTGAAATCATCTAGATGTTCGTCTGTATGTCTGCAACGCTGATGTTATAAAATTTGTTGAAATATTGTGAACAAGCGAACTTGAATTTCCAAACCTCTTGTTATAATTTTTGCATAGTAACATGTAGTAATTTTCATGTAATTGTGCCTTATTTCTTAAAAATTTTTGTAGGATAAAATAATAAAGCTTTACACGATTTATTACCCCTCCATCCAAAACTCGGAATAATCAATGATACATTAAATTATTAACTATTTTGATAAAAACCAGATACCATGTACCACAAATGCAACGACTATTGCTTTAGATTAAAAACATATATTTTGAGCTCTAAAGAAAAGTCCTGGATCCGCCCTGGGTAGGCCTAGGCGGCACAGAACATCAGGGCCGCCAAGAGGGGAAACTGTAACAGGGGCAAGGGTTGGTGTGGGCCCCAGTTACATGTGCGAAGCGCAGGATAGATTGCGGTGAAGGCACAACAATTTTTTGAGGGGGCCCAGTCAATCTGGAGAGGCCCATTATTAGAGGACCCATGACATTATTTGAGGCCTCACGATAGTAATTAAAATTTTTGAAAAAAAATATGGAGAAAAAATGCCACCTGCAGTTAGTATGGGGCCTCTGGTAAGCTTGGGCCCTGAAGATCTTGGACCCGGGGATCTTGGGCCCGGGGATCTTTTCCCCTTGCGGCCCCCCATCTCGGTGGCCCTGCAGAACATTGACGAGAAGCCGAACATTTTAGCATGGAACACTGCTTTAAAAACGTTTTTTCGGCAGTTTTAGAGTGCCATTTCTGGGAATCAGTGCTATTGCTTTTTTCTTGTTTCACATGTTTATTGATTTCTTTCACCTGCCCCTCATCTTTTGTTCTATCAATATTTAAATTTTTCTCATCTCCTCTCCGTATTTGTTCTAATAGGAGGAGGAACAAAGGGTTTCAATTTTTTTTACAAACTGGAATACAAATACAAACTGTTAACAAAACATAATTCATTTTTCAAAATAAAGATGGATTTTTTAACGGATGATGTAAATAAGTGCTTTATAACAATAGGTCTACTGAAAACATTTTCGACCATGGAATTTTGTTTAATATTTAAAAAAATCAAGAAAAATTTCTTAATTGAATATGGCAGTCTGATTCAGAACCAAATATATAGGCTAATTGTATTATATATATAGGTTAATTGTTTAATGTGTATTATATTTAGGCTAACTGTATATTGCATTATAATAAGCTAATTGTATATTGTATTCTATATAGGCTAATTGTATATTGTATTATATATAGGCTAATTGTTTATTTCAT